TTTCGCCGCGTTATAGGAATCCGCATTATAGGAACCCGCGTTATAGGGGGGTCTACTGTACTTAGATTTAGGTAACCATCCAGTACATCGTAATGACCAAACAATAAATGTATGTATTCTTTTTGTCTACTCGATATTTAGTTAGTTGGTAAATTAGAATAACCGAATTATAGGCTTTATTAAATTTCTAATCTGATACGATTTCAACATTATTATTGGATACTTAGACCATATTAATTAATTTAATATTTTTGAAACCGTGCCAGTAATCTTTGCAATTCAAACACAAATTATTTATTGTATTTATACAGACACTCGGCAAATGACAGAATTAAATTTTATTCGGTCGATAGGCGTTCCTCTCATTTATACACGTTTCGGGCATTTCTCGCCCCTCTTCGGCCAACTGGCAGTTTTTCTCCGTAATCGTTGTTTCGTCGACTCTTACGCATCTTCCGATATAAATAATAAATAATCTGTATAAATACAATAAATAATTTGTGTTTGAATTACGTATTAATTATTTCAACTATACAGAAAAATTTGGCAATATATCGAAGGAACCGATAAAAGTTGTCGCCGTAACGTTCGTATAAGATGACGAGAATTGTCAAATAAAGACAGACGCCGGGTATTGCGAAATACTGGATTATTTACAAGAAATACGAGTAAATCGGTTAGCGTATACTTTTAAAATAAATCGTGTTTATAAATCATTACTTTTATATATACAAAACAGTTTTTTACACATATTTTTACATTATAAAAATTTAACGACAGCCTCGACTATCTCGCCATTCGGTACATAAATATGGGGCCAAGTTGTGGCGTAACACTTTCGCATCGTCGCTACGCGCGTCGGATCCTCGCCCACCGCATTTTTCGCTGGTCGCGCCATTGTCCCCCATCGACTAAACCAGCCGAATCTTCCGCCTCCACAAAACCCGTCGGACGTTACGTAGCGCCGCTTTCGGTTAATAAAAAATAACGTAATGCGAGGGAAGCGGCAACGATCTTTGGCCACGTTTCGTTTTCGTCGAAATTCGACGACCGTAAAAATATTCTAAAACGCCATGATAAATTCCAAATGCCGCGTGACGAAAATGAGATTTGCCGGGGTACGTACAGTACGACCTGGTTATATTTCTCCGTAAGGCTACGGTTAAGCTTAGTTCGCACCGAGCGATTAGCGAAAGCGAATGCGAAAAGCGATTGCGAATTTTAAGCAGCCAATCATTTGCACGCGAGAGAAAACGTCGTCTCGAAAAACAAGATGGCCGCTTCCGATATTCCGTCGTTAACCGCGTTTGTTTATTTATCGAGAAAGAAAGATACTGGATGAGAGGAATGTTAAAACTCCGGAATTACAACATTTACTCTATTGCGCCAGAAAGTTTCCGTAGCCATGTGGAAAACAACGGGAACCGCGTGACGACTAACGGGAATAGAATCGGTGGCGAAATTTTTACGCTAGCGAAAAAGCTGGACAGTTCCGAACTTGGAAGCGATTGGCGAAATGGTAAAATTCGCGTCCGACCGTTCGAACCAGTTTGATTTTTTAGCGCGTTCTGACGTCGAATTTCGAGTGTTTTGGTTTTTTCGGAAAACGCGCGCGGCGCACCCACCTGGTTCCGACGAGGATTTCGGACGTACTCGTCGGAATTGGTATCCGCGGTAACCGTAGCCCAAGGGGAATGCTTCGTCGGCCGCAATAATTACATATGGAGATCGGGTATTTGCCAGACGCCGCGAAACGACGCGTTTGCCGTCTCGCCGAGTTCCAAACGTTGGTCGGCAACGTTTCGTCGTTCCTCTTCCGTCCGAGACCCTTTCGGTCTTTTCCAAATGGCAAAACGGGTCTCTCTCGATATCCAAGTTACCGTCGTTCGTCCCACTCGAAATGTATAACTCGGACTGGCAAAGGTTTCTCCGGTAGCGAGAAACCTACAATTTTAAGTCGAGTTTAAATATGGCGAAATGTATGCGCTAAATGCGTCGTTTTATCGTCTCCATTTTGTCACGTTGGATTGACTCGTTGTATTTAGAAATAAATAACCATTTATATCGCCGCGCGCCATAAAATTTAAACGAGAATCACGCAAATTAATAACAAATTAACGATAATTATTACTCGGTTATAGTAACGGCCAATTGTTTTTATTGTTATAGAAATTATATAAACAGATTTATTCATTTATTTTTGTCGGAACCTCGTCTTCTAAAGGTGCCTCGATTGGGCCACCCCAGTCGATCGTTCCATTTCATATTACTCTACTCCGCCACGCTTTGTACAGATTACGAAATACAGTATACAAAATATTAACCAACGTAACAGTAGTATTAAATCCGCGACGAAAGAACCTCCATTTAACTCGGAGTTAAATAAATACAGCGGCCAACCGTGTAACGTCAATTAACTGCGAAAATTCTTAAGTTTATAATAATCGACCATCGTCTCGTGCAGAATACTAGACAGATTACCGTCGAAGGTTTTGAAACGGGCCGCCGAAACCTCTCTGCCTCGCTTATAATCCGCAACTCGAGTCTATCCCTCTCCAGGCTGACGCAGTCGTAAACGATACGATCCGGATCATCGGGAACACCGCAAATATTACGGGTATCTTCCTCCCAATGCCCGTACTTGTAGTTATAAAAGTTGTAGTTACCGCGATAACCGAAAAAGGTCGACGTAACAAAGTCGACGAGTGAATGTCTGTTATTCGGCCGTCGGTTAACATCCGGAAAAAAAGAATACGAGCCTCTTCCCCTCTCGGAGGAGAACCGGCGATCCTGCCAAATGTTACGATAATATTCCCTTAAACGTTGTTTAACGTAAATCCTCGCTATCTCGTCACCCGCTATCTTCGTGTCCCGAGTACTCGCAAAACATCGGCACGCGGGGAATGCCGGAAATGAGCGTGCGGATGGCTGTAATCCAGCAAAATTGAATAGTATTTTTGCTATCTTTGTTGTTAAGATTTTTCCAAATCTCCCGAACTGTAGAATTTTTACCGTTTAAGTCTCGTAGCGCCGCGATAGCGGCTTCGCTATCCGTAGAAATAGCAATAGCCTTATTCCGTTGACTCGTATTAATCCGATCGATACCCTTTGTAATTGCAAAAAGCTCCGCTCGAAAATTGTTACAGAGTCTACGCATCTTCCGTGTCTGGTAATATATACTCCGCTCGGCGTTATAATAGGCAAAGGCCGCACCCGTACCCGTATCGCTCCTCGAACCGCCCGCGTACACACGTTCCTTTCTTGTACTTTTATAACGCGCCCGAACAACTTCGGGTATTTCCCTAATAGGCATCCTTTGTACCGCTAAAACTCTAGTTTCCACTTTAACGTCGTCCAATCTTAGGCACTCCGGGATATCATTTTCTGTCCTTAATTTGAGGTTATGGTTTTTTTGGAAATTATATAATAACAGATTATAAATGTTTGCTTCCGTTTATAGGTAATAAGTTGACGTTATTATTTTATCCGTTTCATTTTTTATTATAAACTAGCCGTTACCCGCGACTCTAGCCGTTACCGAATATAAATGGGGTTTGCCAGCATATTTCGACAACCGTAGTAATTGTTATATAACACCTACCGCCCAGAATCGAACCAACTGTTTTCAATTCGATCAATTTTCTGCAACGTTTACAATCGTTCTATAATCGAGCCGATACGCCATAACAAATTCGAGTTTAAAACGGTTCGAACATTTGGTTAAAAAATCGAAATATATAACAAATATTTATAACCGTGTCCGAAATGTTATCAATTTAATACCCCTAAGTACTCGACGAAGAATAAACGTAATTAAAAACAAAAAATCGCGTGTAAAATAGTACGGTAGAAGCCGTTCTTTCGGTTAAGCCTTAACGCTCCCCCGCAAGGGAATTTGGAAAAATCCCTTCTTAGCGCGCGTTCTCGCCACGCATCCTAACCGCGTACCAAATTTCACTTCTAGGTTCTGGAACTTTGTAGAAAAAACTGGAACATCGGCATCGAAACGTCACAGATTTTCCAAGTCAACCACTATCAAACCCCGTATCTCCCGCGAGACGCAACCGCCATAGCGCGCGATGGGAGACTGGGGGCTACTACCGCGCGCAAACACTATTCGTGAGCGAGGCGTAGTTTTGGCTGCGGAGCGAAATACAGGTACAGTACACACGCGTCCATTTTTATATATATAGATATAGATTATAATTGGTATTTTGATTTTTTTAATAGGAAATATTACAATATATAAAATGTTGTAATAGGCTATACATTTTGTAAATGTCGATAAGAAGGCATTTTCTCCATAAAAATACGTTTTTAAATACGCGGCTTTAAAATACGAAAACGACGATTACCAGAGGATCGATTACCACTTCCGGTCAGAAAAGATTCATTTTACCTTAACGTTAAACAAAGGCGATAACTCGACGGGCAAATTTAGACAAAATAGGCTATATTTTATTTCTTGGCTAGGCCAATTAAATATTACCGCGCGCCGAGTATTGGAAATTGCTAATTTGCCACGAAAGAAACGGAAATATTTCTCCTACTTGGCATTTTTATCCGAGATACAATAAGACGGTCTTGGTCTATTGTCGGTAGCCGTTTCCGCACGCCGATACCGGGCTTAAGACGACCACCGTCGGCCGTATATCTACGAATTATTAGGCTATGGGTTACGGCTATGCAATCTCCGTTCGATTTGCACGGGCGCGGGTAGTGTTTCGTTTCTTTCTTTAAATACGCGGCTAAGAGGAAAAAATGTGGCCGAAATGAATTTCTATATACACGATACGGGAAATTTAAAATGGTGGAAATCGGAGAGAAATAATTAATTATCTTTGTCCGAATAAGTTAAAACGACAAATAAAAGAAAATAACTTAAGTTACCGCAATTATTGTTATCAATTTTAAAAAATCACTTTTTTATGTCCCGCAATTAGCGAATTGTAAAAGTAAAAAGCCCGGACGGACACCGGTTCCACCGTTTTGGCCGTCTTTCTACCGCCACGTTTAAGTCCTTTACGGACCAAGTAAAAAACAAAACCCGACGACGGAAAACGAAACTTTTATTTCAATTTGGAGTCATTTACCAGAAAAATAAAGGCGATATAAGGCCACCGCCTCTTAACCCATTCCGTTAAACCGCTGGCCGGTCGAATTTCGGACCCACCCGGCTACGGTACAATCGTAATAGACGCCATTAATGGCGTACAGGGGTGAAAACTCGGCAGTACTCGTAGGTATGGCCCGAGCGCGAAGATAGAAGCCGAGAGGCCCGGGCGAAATTATAAAGATTGGATAAACGGCGAAAGCGCCAGAGTGCGTGGCATTTGTTAAAACGAAAAAACAAAGTACGGTTGGTAATAAATATACCAACGCGTAGTAACAGAAATACAAAAATAGGTGGCGCGACCATACGGATTAAAACGGCGCGGATACATCAATACCGGAGATACAGAAAGCAAAAATTAAGCCAACGATAATATTCAACCACGGTTACGGTGGAACGCGACCGCCCGAACAACAGCCAGGACAAAAACACTAAACAATACGGTAAATGGTAAAAAAGCAACGGAGAAAAATGGCGTAGGTAACGAATACATCGAAGACGTAGGCGGAAGGACGACGACGATAAGCCAGCCAATACAATTAGTCAGGCCGTAGCCGAAACCACGCCGGGCAAAAACACGTGGCAAACGACGGCTGCCCGAACAACGGCCCGGACTAGAGGATACCCGCGGTTACGACCAATCGAAGAGGACCGACACAATTACAGAATGTATTCGTACCTCTTTGGGGTGCCGGCCGTAGCGCGTAAGAACGCCGGCCAGTTTTTACTGGTGGAGTGGCGGTTGCTTCCGGGAAGATTACTTTGAAGGCAGTTCGCGCGCGTAGGTGGTTCCTATTTCTTCGGACAGTCCTGGAAAAGGCGGCCATCCCCGCACCCACTGCCAGTACTATCTTTCTCCGTACGGGTGCTGGTCCCGTGTCCAAACGACAGGCACTGGAAACATCGGATGGCGGGAAAAAATGACCAACTGGACATCTACTCCATTGTACAGTACGTTTAATCTTTTCTCTCTAACACGATACTGTACTTCCCATGTCCGGACCGGCTTCTATCACCCGAGATTCGTACTCGGCACTCGTCCGTTTCGTCGGGAACCCGATGGTAGGTTTCTCGGTGTAGGACACCCGAAGCCCACAATTTTGTTGGTAAATAAATCCCGAAAGGTCTTCTCCGTCTATAGTCTTAGGAACGGATACGATTTTAACCAGTGGCAATCTTTTCCGGACGACTTTCGAACCCGGCCCTTTAATCTCAGAAATAGCCACATGGAGCGCGTCCGCATCCTTGGTGCCGGGGCAATTACGGCTGTAAACCAGCGCGGTGTAGCATCGGACGGCGTAGATCCCAGTATCCCGTTTCGACGCTCGTACAATCGTAATAGGGCAATAGACGCTCCCCGGCCAAATTGGGTTTCGTCCTTCCTTCCGGGACCGGGCAGACGGAGAGCCCCGCCGCCTTCTAACGCCGATATAAAGTACGAGCGACCCCGATAAGACGGTAATTACGTTGGGCAAAAAAGTCGGGTAACCCGACGGTGCCGCCGGCCGATCGGATCCAAAACTCGGCCGAAGATAGCTTAGCGCCTTTTGTCGGTGGCGCCCGTTAACGACAAATTGCCATCGGACGGGATTCCCACCGGAAGAGAAAAAGGGAGACAGCCGGAAAAAGAAAAGAGACTTTCGACCTTTCCGAATACGATAAGGATTCCGCGGGAAAAGGCTGGGATGCCGACCGCCCGTCGACGGACGGGTCCGGACCCAGGGCCGAGGTGGCCGGGTCGGCCTTTTTCCGCCACCGCGGGAAGGACCGACGGAAATCGGAAACGCCACGCTCGGTTCTCGCGTCTAAAAGTAAGTCGACCTTTATTTGGCCGGGAGAATCGTAACTCCCAGCTCCGACCGCGCCGGCAAAACCGTAAGAACGTATTAACGCCACCCTTTCTCCAGCCGGGTAAAATCGCGCGAAAGTGGGAAAAGGGATAACAAAGTTAGGTGGTGACCGGGTGGAACAAGTGCTGATGAAACGGGATATTTCTGGCCTTTCTTTCCACAAAATTAAGACCGGGAAACGCATTTGGCCGGTGGCCGGTAGCCAAATTTTACGCGGGACGTTATTAACCGAGACTTAATTGGGTTAAAGGTTTGGCCCCCGCCGGAGCGCTCCGCCGACGTCCGGCGCGGTTACGTGGCGCCAGATACCACCGAAACCGAAAAATAAAAACCAAGGTCCCGGGGTTTTACCTGGACGGAAACTCTCCGCCATTGACGAAATTCTTCGTCCGTATTTCGCCTAATCTTTTCCCTCCGGGCAGAAAAACGTTTTCCGCCATATTTTCGAAACGCGCCCATCCGTCTTCCGGAGAGAAGTTTTTCCAACGCCCGGGGTTATCGGTGGCGGGAGTCTTAATTATTGGCCGCGGGCGGAAAGAAAACCCTATTTTACGGGAATTCCGGCGGAGACGACGCTTTTACCGAAAGCGCCCCGTTAAACTTTTTAAGAGAACGATATAAAGGGAAAGAGGCCGAAGGCGGCCGGGATTCTTAAGGTCACCGTCCCGTAATTACGTCCGGGTAGAACGGGCGGAAGTAAGTGGGGGCCGCCCCACCCCGACTTACTTCCGGGACACCCGAGTCCTCTTCCGGTCCGCGGCCGGAGTCCACAGGCCGATGGTACGTTACGTAAATTTTCCCGAGAAAAGAAGAGAGCGCGGGGGACGAAAGGTGGTCGATATAATTAATAAGATACGACCGGGTCCGACGGCCGCCGTTAAGCGGGAGGGAGGCGGCGCCACCTCTCCCACCCGCGGAATAAGGCCGCCTAACCGGGAAGGAAATTCTAAATCTTAAATGCGCTTTCCTTTTACGCAAAAACGTACTTTCTTGCGGTTAATTCTCGGCCGGAGAAGAGACGGTTTCCTTTCAATCTCGGCGAAAAAACGTGGAAAGCGCCTTCTCGGCCACCCACCGGAAAGAGAAAAGTTAATAATAAAAGAAAGAACGAAAGAATTTGCGCAAAAACCCAAAGGACGGCGGTGAAAAATAAAAACAAAAATAAAGTAAGTTGTAATTCCCGCTTTGGACGGATAAAGGAAACTCCGGCTCTGCGCGCCGTAAAACGACTCGGGCTTTCGATAATTAAAGGCCTACCCGGGCATTATTCTTTCGTCGGCGGTTTCCGAGCGCTCCAATAAAGACCGGTCCGACTTTGGAAAGTAAACGGGCGCCGTTACGTTATTTTTAAACAAGAAGACCCGTCGCCTTCCTCCTTACCCTCCGTTCCGTCCGAGTTGTTCGGCCCGGCAACCCGTCCGGGGTCGACGGAACCTTCCTTTACTTTCTTCCGTTCTCGGCCTTTCTGCCCGTCCCTTTCCCCCGAAATAACGCCTCCGATTTTCCCGCCTTTAAGGGAAGGCCAACCCCCACCCACCGACCGGAGAATAGAGCCGAGGGGCGAGAGACGAAGCGCCCGTCCCGGTTAATGGAGGTGTTTCCCGAAATAACGTAGCGTTTGGCGCTTCGTCCCCCGAAGGAGGCCGACAAAAAAGGAGGATTTCGGCGGGGACGTCGCCGGGAGTCTCCGGCAGAAGAGTTTTTTGTGGGGCGCGCGATGGAGAGATAGGCCCGGTGGGAGACGGAGAGCGGCACTCGTCTAACCCGGCGCGGGGATCAATACACCTTCAGCGGACCGTGTCCATCGACGGTCTTCTACCCGAATTCGGAAAACGGAGACGTCGCCGCGACCCAAATGGGTGACGTCAAGAGCTATATAAGAGCGGAGCGGCGCCGTTCGTCGGCATCGTCCCGCCATGAACGGACTGCGACTGGTAAGTAGGCGCAGCGCCCGGCGCGTAACGCCGCCGCCCGCCTAATCCTTTCTCTCGTCTCTCCGCAGATCGTACTTTCGGCCGCGCTGCTGGCCGCCATCGGCGCCGCCCGCTCGGAGGAGGCCGCCCGGAAGGAAGAAAAGGCGGAGGAGTCGGCGGCGGAAGACCTGAAGGAAGCGGAATCCGGACACGGAGGAGGAGGAGGACACAGCGAGTATTTCCAGTAAGTCTCCCGTCCGGCCCGCGTCCGGAGCGGCCGGGCCGGGTCCGAAGCTGACGACGCTTTGTCTTTTGCTAGATACGCCAGAGTGCCGGGTCACGACGAGTACGAGTTCGGATACAGGAAGGGCAACCCCCACCACTTCCGCGAACGACACGAGCAGAAGGACGGCCATCGATTCCGCACCAAACTGAGATGGGGAGACAAACACGGAGGTTACGGAGAACACTTCTGGGAGTACAACCACGTGCCCAAACACCACAAGGACCACCACCGTCGCTAGAAAACCCCTCGACTCTTCCCGTCCCGCTTGTATATAGTACGAATCATCGCTCTCCGGCCGTTTCGTCCGATAATAAACCTTAATATTTTCTCATTCCTGCTTTTCTTTCAACCCGAGACGATTCTCCGGTCGCGCTTAAAACTTGGCCGGTCCGTTCAACCCGGATTCTACGCCGCTCCGGCGACGGGACGGTTACAGAACGCGCGCGGAATATATTTATCCTTCCTATAAAATTGGCGTAAGTAGAGCGGCGGGGGAAAGGGGGACGTCGCCGAAGAAACGCTCGGCCGGTGTTAAAAAGTGGCTCGTCTCGGTAGACTAAACGGCGGACGCCTTCGGATCGACACGGATGCTCGCCCCGGCGTCACTAATGACGGCCGAGTCTTTGCCCTCTTCTCGGCTCGTCCGACGGCCCGACTTTCGCCTCCCGGAAGGCGAAAGTCGACGCGCCTCCCAGGGGTGGACGGACTACTCTCGCTTTTTCCTCCTCTTTTCGAAATTCCCACTTCCACCTTCCCCGGCGTCTGGGCTTTTCTAAACGCGCAATTTTCCGCAATAAACGGCGGGAAAATTGGCCGAAGGCGCCTTCTAAATACGTTTCCGTCGCCGACTTTACGCCGCGGGTTAAGAACGTCGCCCACCGAGGAGAAAGCCCCAGCCGGAAACGGTTTTCTTTCCACTTCCGTTTCGCCCCCGGCGGAGAAAGGCGCGGGACGGAGGGGTTACGGCCGACGATACTAGGTATTTTCTAGAAAAGGCCAACCGGGCTCGGTCCCCTAGGCGTTTCTCTTTCGGTTCGACGCCCAAACCAGTACCGTCGGACGCTCTCCACCTTCCGTTTAAACCCGGAGGGAAGGAAGAGGCGGGCGAGAATTAGGTGGGTGTGGCCGAGACTGGAAAATTAGACTTAAAGAAGACGGATACGACGTAAGAAAGGCGTCGGAGGAGGCGGTACTCTCCGGGATGGCGCGGCCAGGCCCGGTAAAACGGGAAGAGGTTCCGAGACCGGGCGGAAAACGTCCGCAAATAAAAGCCGAAAAGGTGTTTACGGATTTATTTTCGACGGACGGAGATCATCGTCGGTCGGTTCCGACTTTGGCGCGGGGGTCGATTTACGGGTCTTTAAAGTAATAAGAGAAGACGCGATTTGACCCGGGATGTGGCCCGTTTCCCATCGGAGGAAGGGGAAAAATTGACGACGAATAAATTAGCAGACTACGGAACGGATGGGAATGTTTGTCGTTCCGGTGGGCCGACACTGGCACGGTTTGCGATTATTTGGGTAATACTCGGTTCGTTTTCCATGATTGTCCGTCCAAGACGGCTTTGGCTATTTTCGAATTTTCGCGCTCGTTCTTTTAAAACGGACGTATTCGAGAGGGAAACGGAGAAATGCCAAAGTCCACGCCGGTGGAAAAAAATGGCAAATAATTGGTCGGATTCTACTCTCTTTTAATTAACGCTTACGTTAATTAAAAGAGGACGAAAAATACGGCAAAACTCGTACTTTCGCGCGTAAAACGCGAAATAAACGGAAGCTGGTCGTCGACGGAAAGTTCCTCTTTTCGTCATTCCATTCTTTAAATATAACGATTTATAGTCTGGATGGAAGAAAATCCCATCGATAATTATATTACCGTTTTCCGGTGATATAATTTATATATATAATAAATATAATTTCGTCTGGTAAGAACGAAGAACGAAACCGGATTCCTCGGATATTTCCCGTCGTAAAAAAACGCGGCCATTTTTGCGCTTTTCCGTCGCTGGTATTTCGGCCACCGTCTTACGGAAAATCTGGAAATTCTTTCCGACGACACGTTCGGAGAAATTCGCCCCCGAAAATCGGCCATTCCCCGCTCCCGTACCTATGGTCGGCGGGTGACTTTTTTACTCGGCGGGACGACTCCCGATTTCCAGCGGTGGGAAAGAAACCGTACAAAAATATATCGAAGAAGGGAACCGAGCCGAAGGTAAAATCCAACGTCCACGCCGCGGTAAACGACGTACGGTACGGTCGACCCCCGTAACGCCGTCGATAATTCCGTTTTACGCCAGTTCCGCCCGGTACGAGTCGCTTAGATTTTACGAATACGCCAGCCGTTGGGGTTCCGGCACGCGTATTTGTAAAATTTAAGCGGCTCGTACCGGGCGGAACTGGCGTAAAACGGAATTATCGACGGCGTTACGGGGGTCGACCGTGTATCGCCGGGTTAAATGGCCGGAACGGTGGTAACCTTTAAATTTTACCAGAAAAATTGTTTCGCTATCCGCGCGCCAAACTTTAACAATACTCGAACCGGACGGTAAATGGCGCGGTTTCCGCTTGTTCGAATACTTTGCGACAAACTTTACGCTAATTGGTTATATTAAGCCAACGAATTTCGCATTAATAAAGTAAAAGGCAACTTTTACCGTCCTTATTCTATAGACGTTTGTATGGTAATCTTCGGACGACCAGCGGCGAATATCTACGAGAAAGAACTCTTTTCGGAGTAAAATGTGGCGAGATCGGCTCTTCTCTACCGGTAGAGAATTCGGTAAACGAAGCTGTCTCGTACGTCGACTGGGAAACGTCGTATTATCTGCGGAAGAAAACGACGGATTGCTGGCATTTGTGGGAAAATGATTTAATAATCGTATTTAGATATCATCGAAGGTAAAAGTAAAGTTTTACTTTTAACCCCTTAAAAATGCCCGTTTTAATTATTAAAGCTAAACCCACGCCAGTAAATTCCGTAATTAACGCGTAAGTAAATAAAACCATAGCCGGGTGCGGGCCGAAGATTAAAGGGGTGGCCGCTTTCCCGTAAGCCTACAAGTTGGACGACGGCTGTCCGGAGTGTCGAGCGTCGTTCCACCCACTATCCCAACGTCGTCGTCAGACTCGTAGGCTTACGGGAAAGCGGCCACGCCTTTAACACTTCGGCTAATAAAACGTGGACCGTCCCCCACTCCTACGGACCGAACTTGGATAAAAAAAGTAACGCATTTCCGTCGTCGGTGGTTAAAAAATGACCTTTGCCAGTCCGAAATAAAAACCAACCCGTCTTTCCCCGGACGATACTTTTTCATTTGGTTTTCGGTATTAATTTAAATAAACGCCATTTAACGACGAAACAAAGAGCCGTATTCTGGACAATAATAGCGTTTCATCGCCGGTCGTATTTTTCGTTAACGGTAAATTACGCCAATTATCGTAAACGACTTACGAAAAGTGAAGATTAAACGCGTACGTCGTACGCGGGAAAGGGACCGGCCAGTTTTTTCTAACGTCTAAAAATGATCGGAAATCGGAAAAGTCAAGGTTATTTCGGACCGGCGGGATCGTAATATTTGTCCAAGCCGCCGGAACCGGTGTGGGGATAGTGGCCGCCTCCGTAAAGTTTTAACGGAAATAACGCCGCTTCCGGTCTCGTCTTTCGTCTACGTAATTCCGTTTTCCAACCGCGGCCCGATAATGTCAGGACCCAAAAATGAGTCGAAATTAAATATTATTAATAGAAATTTATTAAAACAGAAACTAGAAAAAATCGTCTATTGTTAAAAACCCATCAAAGATCGAATTAGTTGTGTTAGTCATACGAAACCGCCACGAGAGAAAAAAAAACTTTATTCGTGTAAACAGAACGTAATAATTTTAAATGATTAATTAATAATTGTAAACAAACGACCTCCAGTGGACATAGAAATTTTGGAAAATGGAAAGATTAAAGACGAAAAAGGACATGGCGTCGTGTCGTTAAATTTCTAAAATGTCACAGACTAGACAACAATGGTGGAAAATATGAGCGCCAGTTTCAAAGTTCCATCGACATTTTGCAGTCAGAATAACGGATGGTGTCCAGTAGATTCTTCCAGGCGGATCTTTCTCGTCACTCGAAAAGGAATGGTTTTTCGCGTAGAAACAGACGAGGGAGCCAATCAGAAAACAAATTACAGAACGGAGATTGATATAATCCCCCATCTTGGAGGACAGAAAGACTTCTTCCGTAAACTGTGCCACTGAGTACTCGCACTGCAAAAAGTCCGGAGCGAAAACTCTCCGTGTGTGTCGACGCACAGAAGACGCAGAGTCCGCGCGGGTGTCCATCGAAAGAGCCGTGCCGCCGACATCTCCCGACCAGTCTCCTTACCCGCCGCAGCCCCGGGGCCCATCTCCGAGTGACGAGAGACAAACATCCACGACGTCCAAACAGTCGACTGTGTCTAGATAATTCTAGTTCCTAGGTGTAAGTTTATTTTATGTATAAAATGAACGGGTTTTTGTGAGATTCTTGTCATCCGTGTCTCCTCCACCACACCCACACGCGTTCGACCCTAGATCATTCTGACGCGGGATTAACGATTCCCCCCGGAAGTCGGCCAACTTACAATAACTAATAAAATTTTGACGAAAGTAACGTAGTTAACGTTTACCGAATTAAATCGAACGTGGCCGAAAAGACCGGTACCATCGGGGGCGCGGATCCCCGGACGGTAATTAACGTATTTCGGATTACGCCAAAGGCCGTAATTATTTAAGAGCGATATATCGGCGGCGCCTTCTCCGTCGTATATAAAAACTGACCACGTCCGAACTCCGCTTAATTAAAAACACCTACTACCCGTAGTTACCAGTTATTTACCCTCGTTTTTTATTCGACGTGTGTGGGAAAAACGGGCGAAATTTTCCTTTCTTCTACCTTTTACCTTAACGCCCACCCCGACGGTCCGGACATTCGGACGCTTAAAATACCAACGTCGCTCGGCCCGAAAATTAAACCGGCCGTAATCTTCGTTCCGGTCTCGGACCGTGTTCGAGTAGCGTAAAATTAGTTTTCCACCGCGCGGGGCCCGTCTATTTTTAACGGAAACGGAAAAAACTAAGTTAAACCACGACTTACGTTCCTTTCGTACCCCTTCGATTCTATCCTATCGCCCCACTCCCTACGGCAAAAACTATTAAACTCGCGCGTTTCTTTAAACTCCGTCTTCTTAAACCTCCGGTCCGTAGACCCAGCCTTGGTCCGAACCGGCGCTAATATATTTATTTGTAACTGTGGCGCCATTCCAACGCTTATAATATAAAAGTTTTTAAAAACCCGCTAACTGCAATCTCGGCGTATTAAGTAACGCTGCCAATAAAAACTCGTACTCGCCGAACGTAACGTCGAATACGGGGCGGTTCGGGCCATTTCCGCCGGAAACCCGTGACTTAGTCCAACGTCGATAATATAAACTGAAATTGAAGTAACTCGGATTTGGCTTCTTCGCGGTCGAAATCTAAGACCCGCCGCCGTAAATAAAACACACTTTTGCTAAAATAACACTGGCTTTATTATTGCGAAACCGTCGATTCTTTCGTTGCGGTTTTACGTTTCTTCCGGACGTCGCAATTCAGACCGGGGGTAACTTGACCCCTCCTATGGTGGAATGCGCCATTTGGTCCATGGCCAGTCTCTCCGATACGAAAGCCGACAGAATTTGCTGAAGGTGTCGGGTTACGTAAATAAGGAATACGGAAGAGTTAAAATAGGGAAAGGGGTGAGAAAAATACCTTAGTTTTGGGCGGAGGTCCCCACGGAGTGAAGACGTACTGCCAGTGAGGGATTCCCAAATGCACCAGAGCCAGCCGCAGGTAGGAGGAGAAGTCCGGAGACAGATAATGCCATTCCAAGGCCCGGTCTAGGAACCAGACGGAAGGGGTGGCGGCGTTTTCTGCGGAAAAAGAGTACAAAGTCTTCCGATGGGATTATAAGTGGCGCCGGACGTAGGCTATTGATATTGCCCGGCGGAAAATCGGAATTACAAACATTTGTTGGACGAAAAACGCGGCCGGTGGCTTTTGGAAAACGATTAAAGCCTCGCCGACTTCGAAAATCCCCAAGAATTTTAAATGGTCCGCGTTTTGCGCCGAAAAAGAATTAATTACGTAGACGTTAACGTCTCTCGCCTTCCGGAGAAACAAATAGAAAAGTGGTCGCCTACCGAGAATATTTTTTACCTCCTTCTCCGGACGTTAAAAAAAAAGACGAAAGACGGCGGGCCACTTACCGACTTTTCCGGGATAAACCAGGCAGACTTTGCCGCTTCCTTGACAGGGGTCCAGTAGAAAGGCCTTACACTTGTTCTTGAATTTGGGTTTGGAAGGAATTCCACCGTCGCATTCTAAAAGTAAGAACGGAAACGTCATTTCCTCCGCTTACGTCTTACCTCGCGCGCAGCAAAAAGTAGGCGTCCGGAAACCGCCAAAATCCCCTTTTACCCCGGCCCCCTAAGCGTCGGGCGCCGCGATAAAACTGGCGGGAAAAGGCGGAGAAAAGAAACCCGCGGAATCGTTTATCCTTTTTTTCCCGGCCGCGGTATAATTTACGTAACCCTCCGAAAAATAAGACGGGGCGGAATTCTCGGCCGGCCGGGGGAACCCCTTACACGCGCTAGGAGGGGTACGGAAAGGAAATTTGTTTATATTTCGTTATAATATCCGCGGAGGAATATAGTTAGAGAATAGCGTAATGTTTTACCACCCGATTTACAAAGTGCCGGTTCTTAAGCGCTTTTACTTCGCCGACGTATACGCGAGGAGGGAAAGTACAGTGGAACCCCGGTTAACGAACTTAATCCGTTCATTAACCGAAGCAATTCTTCCCATAGAAATTAATGCAAATGCAATCAACCCGTTCTAGTCTCCGAAATTTTTGTCATTTTATTTGTAATATACAGTAATTTTCTTTGATGAAAATGTAAGAAAACGTAGTGTCTATCGTTACAGCATGAAATATGTAAACTTTGTTTAATAAACTAGCACTGTACATACCTTCGTTTGTTGCAGTTGGTGGCAGAAAAGTGAAGATATACGAACCTTAATGCTTAGAAGGGAAATCCCCTCCAAAAAATAACGGGTAGCCCTTCATCGGAAGATTCTTCGAGTCGAGGTCTCTTTCGGTAAAAAAAACCCACCAGTGGCTAAGCGGTTTTCGTACCTCGAACACGGGGAGTTCGTTCGTGGTTCGCACCTCGCTCAGACGGGCTGGCCACGCGGAGTTTTCCAGGTTTTCTCCTCGTCAGTAACACCTAAGTAGGGGCCAATTTCCCTTAAAAACACCTCCCAGAAGACATTCCCCTAGGCAGATCGCCCAAGTGTCGCGTTGCCATAACTTAACAAACTCTTTCCGTAAGGAACAAGAAATTGATCTAAAGTTGATTGTCTTACTATTTTCAAAATTTTTCTGAGATGCAATAGCGCATTGTCGTTTTCTATTGCCACTATGACTTTTTTCTTTCTTGGATGCCATATTGATTAAATATATAAATCACAAAACTGAAAAAACAAGTACTGTATAGCACAAACACTCGGAAAAGCAATGCTTAACATCAACTAAAATTTGACACAAAATACCGTTACGTTCGTTATCCGAGACAAAATTTCTGCAAAATAAAAGTCCGTTAACCGATTTGGTCGTTAACCAGGACGTTCGTTAACCGGGGTTCCACTGTATCGGAACGGTGTCAAATTTGACCCTTCGAGTATTTTGCCAATCTCCACGTTTCTAAACCTCTCGAATGCAAAAAAGTCAAAAAACTTCCGTCCGTACGTACGCGTGCGCTGGTTTTGGCTTAATATCTCGGGAAGAATTTGGTACACGAGGGGCATGGACGCTATTAACTTTCGTTGGCCAAAGATGGCCGGGGGGAAGTAAGAGGGAGTCGACGCCCGGTATCCGCAGCCAAATCGGACGTTATACGTTGTTAGTCTTTACAAGATTTTTGCCAAACCCGCCGCTACCCTGGAAATTAAGTTTTTTGCTATTGGATAATAATTAAAATACAGTGGGTGATCGGATAACGAACGTAATCCGTTCCAAGACTTTGTTCGCGATCCCATCGCCCACCGTATAGACAATTTTTATAACAGACGGCGCCACGCACAATTTTATTTATGGTGGTTAAAAATATAAAAGTTATTTGGTGAATAAAATGCGATTCTTGGCGCAACGTTACGGCCACCGTCGGAGGTGAGGGGGACTCACCTTTGTCGTCGGCGTCGGAGTCGCTCTCCAGATCCACCAAAGTGGGCAGTTCGGAGTGGAGGCAGTTCTGCTTGGGGGTGATTCGCCTGAGTTTGGCCAGAGAGTTGATTTCCAGCGCCCCTCCCGGCATCGACTCGTCTGCCAGAAACGACATTACCGGAAAAGGTTTCTTATTAGTAAAGGACTGTTGCGGCGGAAGAGACGCCTTTATCGCGCGATTTCTCACCTTTGGTTTTGACGTTCCATTTTAACTGGAGCCCGTCGGTGGCCGAGTAGAAGCTTTTGGCGTCGTCGGGAAGACAGCAGTTGTGACGCTGGAAAGAAAGCGCCGGTTACTATCGACGGCAGCGGGTGTAAAGCCGCGCACATTTTATTTCCTTTCGTTCTTCTCCTCGTCCTAACTTAAATGCGGCAAATCTCCCATTAACCCCGGCGCCGTGCCGGGAGTGCCCTTTCTGACCCGCCAAAATAAAATATGATATTTTGGTTTATACTTAAGTGTATATATTTTTATCGTCTCTATTCATTTTTTTCCCTTATCTGTATTTTAATCCATTGTTTCCGGCGTTATTTTCGGGGTGATACTCCCTGGAAAGAAAAGGAAATTGTCTGGCGACATTTCCTCTTGTATATACAAAATAAATAAATAAATAAAAACTAGCCGGGAAACCGTCCCGGGTCCGTCGATTCGTTAACGGACAAAAAATGCACCCAGAGGTTTACGGACGACGCTGGCCGCTACCAAACGCGTCTTCCCCCAGCGGGAGGGGCACCCTAAAACCTATAAAAACCATATATAGATACGTATTAAAACCTGGTATAGGCGTATAACTAAAAGACCGATGCACCCAGACTAACGCTAAACCTATTTAAAACCGCGTATATATCTATATATAAAACCGTATAAAATACCCATTTTAAGGTAATGTATACCTATATATATTACCTTAAAATACTATACAATAAGGTATAGTTGGCGCCCCATTAAAACATACCTATAACTAAGTTAAACCGGAACCTAAAACAATATACCGTATATCTAGGCGCCATAAACCCTTAAAAATCGATAGAAAACACCCGGGTTATATATACCAACTCCTAAAAGCATTTTACGTACGGCGTACCCTGGAAAATTTGGGGACCGACGGGGACGAGAAGGCGGTCGGTCCCCCGTCACCCGAAGAGACCCGGACCGAGAAACTAGCGGTAGCCACGTAACCAGTCGTCCGCCGCCAATAAAAGACAACCGCCGCCTCCCGCCACATTTTCCGGTACAAATCCGCTTCCGCCGACAGAAAGTAATTTCCTATCGGTCGATTTCTTACCCTTCCGCCTTCTCGTACCGGTTCCGGAAATTCGGAAAGGTCGGGTAGTCTTTGGCCGGCGGAAGATGGCGTTCCGTAGGCGTACGGTGCCAAACTGCGAGGAAACCGCCGTCGTAGTTTGCCGGGTCGATGGGCGGTAGTGGCCCACGGGTGGGAAACGGAGTTTTAGCCTGGCGGAAAAGGCGGACAGACCGACGGGACGAGAAGCGACACCGGACAAACGGCTATTTAAGTTTATAGTTTTGTTCGGCGCGAAAAAGCGCCACTCACCTGTTCCCAGGAGGCCAGGGCGGAGGCGTCCACCGGTTCTTTTTCCATCACCGTCACCGCCTGGACCGTCGGCAGATGTTCTGAAACGAGTAAGAACGACGTTTCTTAAGACCCGTTCTACTTCCGGCTCCAATCGGCGCCCCCAGGCCTCACCTCCCGTCCGCCGCGGGAATTAAAACTGGCGCCCTGGGCCACTTGGCGATAAAAGCTTCTTATTAATTAATAGTCCGCATATTTTTAATTTTTCGGTCAGCCTCCCGATGGATAGAAAACTGCGTGGCCACGTAATTTATAAAGCCGGAACGTAAAGCGTAGCCTACGCTGCCGACCCACAAATGGTTATAACGCCGCAGAAAAAGTAAATTCTCCGGTAAATACCACTTTAAAACTTAATACCGTACCGGGCGTTGGTATTTCGCTTATTCGGCAACGTTTGTCCGGTCGAACGCCACGTATATTAAAACATTGGTATATTGCCGGGTCTTTTAATTAAAATAAGTGGCCTAACTTCCGAGTTTTGGCGCGGTTAATAGGGGTCCCCCGCCAATAAGCTTTCTTTAGCCCGTCTGGCTTCTTAGCGGCTCTCGCCTCCCTCGGACTTCTCGTCGATCCGACTCCCTTTTGGATGTTAACCCGGGGCGGAATGCGCGCAATTTGAAAACGACGGAATAGGGAGGTTGGAGAGACGGCGGCCGTAAATTAAAACGAAAGATCGACGAATGGTGTTTGGCCGCCGTCGGTACCGTCGTTAACCGTAATCGACACCGATATTTTATCGTTCTCTTCGACGCATTAAACTAATAGCCAGACGGCGGCCGAGTTTTCGTCGGTAGAACGTCAACGTCAACGTCGAACGCCGCTATCTCGTAAGCGGCGACGTTGACGTAAGTCGACGTTGACGTTGACGTTCTACCGACGAAAACTCGGCCGCCGTCTGGCCAATATCGAAAACTAGCGGACCGGCCCGGCGTTGATGGGAAAAAAGTAACGATAGCCGAGAATAAGATTATTACCTTATAGTCCATTCTACCCGTTCTCGCCCGGTGCGAGAATTAGGTTCACCTTCTTCCGAAATACATTAGAGAATTTTTATACGGATTAAAAATATGTTGCATTTCCCGCAAATCCGCATGTAAAAAGGTACGGTAGAAGCCGAGTCCTTCGGGATAATCCTCCACCCTCGCCCTCTCCTCCGCGGGAAGATTTTCCAAAAATCCCTTCTTAGCGCGCATTCTCGCCACCTACCCTAACCGCCTACCAAATTTTAGGGAAGTATAACGTTAAATTCGATATGGCCCGGTATAAACGCCTCCTCGTCCGCTTCCGGTATACGGGAACGCGCGCCCGACGGTGTTTGGGAGGACCGGACGACGTCCGGTATGGAACCGGAAGTTGCCGACGTTTCGTAACTAATTCGGCTAAAAGTTACTTGGGCGTTTCTGAGTGGTAAGCGTGGCGAAGAGTAGCCATCCACGGAATTTCCAATAGTAACGCTACGAAGCGACCGGAAGACGATAAAAAACTAGCGAGGAATTTAAAGAGCCGGAGGATCCGAAGGAGGATTTCAAAAAGAAAAGACGGGCGACAGACAGAAAACTCCCGATTTTGCCCAGGTTAAAAATTCTGCCCGCCGGTGGACTTTAGAAATTCGGCTTGGTATAACTTCGACTTATTGAGCGGAAGAAACTTGTGCCGAATTAATAAGACTGGCCAGCGTCAAATTTAAACCGACTTATAGAACATTAAGCTTAGATATAGTTTCCGCTTACCGTACTGTACCGTACGGTATCCCTCCATCGAATTCGGCCAAATAGCCCGAATATTCGATAAAATATTGTTATTGTAATTGTGAGAGTCGAACTTAGTGGAATAAATTGTTAAATATTTTTTTTACGAAAAACAGTTTAGAGAAATAAACAACAAACCGATATTTAAAAAGAACATTAAACTTTTTTCCCACCAACTTAATTTCGTGTCGAGGAACATACGTCCCATGTGTCACCCGGAATCTACGAAAAGACCAAAGAAAACGACTATTGGACGGAGGCGGTGGGAAAAACCCAAAGACCACCCCCTTTATAAAAACCAGGGGTCGATGCGTAAGAGTCAGTCTCCGGAGTTTGGTGTGAACTGTGGATTTACGTGAACGGATTAGCCGCTACCCGGAACTATTCTAATCGCCGCCTAAAGAAATATCAACGTTCGAAAGAACTTTGTTCCACACAGAGACTCCAGGAGTAAACGACTATTTGCCAACTTATATCGAGGTATTTATCCTCGCGCCAATTAAATGTCAACTCTCTCTCATAAATACGGGTAATCGGGAAAGAAGTAGATATGTTAACTGAATCGATTGTATATAGCTTAAATAGAACAATAGACAATTTATAGAGTGTAATTCCTCTGATTCTCTCTTTACGCCTCCATCTCGGAACTAAGAGTCCACATACGCGAAATTCGAACGTAACGGTCTCTGCGTCTACCCAGAAGACGCAGTGGTGTCAGTCCTGATAAATTTGTCGTTGCCGTCTTCGCCCACGCAATGTTCACCCTTCGGTCCTGTGGTGCCGAAGCATACGGGCCCTTCGGCATTGTCACGTAATGATTATTTAAAGTAGGAAATGGATTTTTTAGGCCATCGGGCGCTATTAGCGCGAAAACGGCCAGAGGCCCAAAATTAGCGGCATTACGTATGGCGGACTTAGATAAAAACCGGCGAAATTAAATGGTACGTAGATGATTTATGACAAAAATTCTGTTCGCCAGTTAGACCGAGATACAAAATTTGAGCGCCAATTAGAAAATAATAATAGAATATAACGATTCTAAGATAAGAAAATAACGTAAACGCGTGAAAAAGAATGTAATGTTAAAAACAATCGACTATAAATCCTATTGTCCGCTATACAGTCGACCCCCTGTAACGCTGTCGATTATTCCGTTTTATACGAATTCCGTGTTGTACGAGTCACTTAGATTTTACAAATACGCGAGCCGTTGGCGGCCCGGCACAGCTATTTCTAAAATCTAAGCGACTCGTACAACACGGAATTCGTATAAAACGGAATAATCGACAGCCTTACAGGGGGTCGACCGTATATAAAAAAGAACAAGTTTGTTACGGCTCGGACCAAAATTTGGACAAAAACCACAGACTTAAAAGAACAAACTTGGACTAAATTATAAATTCTCCACGGGTTTCCGGATAAACTGTTAAACGACTGGATAAAAAATACAACGAAAATAAATATACAGTGGTGCCTCGTACAGTACTTCCAATCTAATTCGCTCCGGGAAGTCGTTCGAACTCCGAATCAAGTTTTCCCATTAGAAATAACGGAAAGTTAATTAAATTCAAATACGAAACCGTAAATAAAATACGTAAATACCCAACGATAAGATGGAAATTGCATTTAATTAATGGTCGCGCCCCGACTCGGCATCTTAACGTATAAATGTGATTTAATTATAACAGTGGTAAAATGTAAGTAACATATTACAGAAAATGCCAGACTATCCTTTGTTCAGAATCTTACTTTAAACCGTTTACTTGACATTTTATTTGAATACAATAAAGTTATAATAGCCATGTTGGGAGCGAAGTTTTAAAGGCGAAAACGCGTACGTCGGACGTTCGGCGCCGCTTTCCCGTCAGGCTAGAAGTTCGACGACGGTGTTCGGACAGTCGGCGGAATGACGCTCGACATTCCAAATACCATTGTCAAACTTCTAGGCTTACGGGAAAGCGGCGCCGAGCGTCCGACGTACGCGTTTTCGCCTTTAAAACTTCGCTCCCAACCTGGCTATTGTCTTCCGATAAAAAGCCTATCGGGCATATTACGCTTGGCGACTTTCGAAAAGGCATAACGATAAAAACAATCGTAATGCGTAAGGGGAAAATGTTGCTAAACTTCGAACGCGTCCAATACGATTTCGGAAATTCCGTTCGAAAAAGTTTTGCACTAAAGGGTACAGAAAGTAAGGGGCGCACAAAAGCTGTCGGCGTAAAATGACTGTAGAAAGAAATTGTTAAAAACGACGAATAACGCGCGCGTGTATAACCAAACACACTAAAAATAAAGAGGAAAAAAAGAGCTGTAAACGTATAAGCATTATACAAGAGCGTTCGAAGTTAGAGACAAAAGTACGAGGTAGCGCCGTAATTTATAACGTGACAAACCAGAAAAAATAAACAATTACATGTTACGGGCTAAATTGTACTTGTAGGAGAAAGTATATTACGCGGGAGAAATCAACGGCCGTTACCAGTAACCGACGAGAGCACCGGGCGGCCGTAAGATTAAAATATGGTCGGTATCCGCGGGTAATAAGTAGCGAAGAAAACTAAAGGCGTTATCGACAGATATAGTATAAAAATTGCGTATAGAGAAAAAGATTTATACGCGAGAAGATTCGAACAAGGCGCGACGATAATCCAATGTAGAAATGGCATTAATTTAAATAACGGAATGGATATCGACCACGCACCGTACTTAACTATAAAAAGTGTAGTAGACACCAGGCAGTATAGCGAGTAAAGCGCTTTGTAGTAACGCGTCCGAGTGTTGCGGCCATCGTTATCGTTCTCCGGTAAAAGATTTTATAATTTTAAGAAATATTTGTGTATTTTTAAAAACTCGTTGTCCGAAGAGGGATCGAAACAATTTTGACAACGCATTGCCCAACCAAGGTATAAAAAGAGTCTCCGACCGAAACGAATTAAGGAAAAGGACGGGTTAAATCATTAGTCCGAAATTAACGGGAAGAAGGTTCGGCACAAAGACGGAATGTCAGGATTAAGAAAACTTCCGCCGTTCCCTAGCGTCTAGCTCTTCCACGCCCTCACCCCTGGGAAATACGGCGGGATAACGATCGAGAACTACCGGAGTAAACGAAAAGGACAAACTTTTATTTAAAACTAGCGGACCAGCCCGGCGTTGCTCGGACAAAAAGCCACGATAGTCGACATTAAGATTATTACGTTATAGCCTTTCGAGAATTAGGCCCCCTCTTCCGAGACTAATTAGAGAATTTTAGATATCCGCTTATAACCATAATTAAGACTGGCCGAGCGACGAATAACGAACGTTTTCCTAACCCTTTCCGGGTTTACTTAATTCGAAAAACGAGCCGCATCTTCCCGACTCATTCGTAAATACCAATTCCGACATTAAGACCGACAGTTCGAATAAAGACAACTGTTGGGAGACTAAAAATGATTTACACATGTAAGATTAACGGTAACAAAAAGACAGCTTTATTTTCACATCCGATCAGTTCGAAAGCAACAGAGCGAGTGGTCACCAGATGGACACGCGCTTACGTAACGGTCGTACGTTTTGTCACCCCTCTGACACCTGACCAAAGTTCACACATTTCGATGATAAATTGCAGGGTGGGACAAGTTCCACCAGACTGCTACAAACAATTGCTGCAACGACTTACGCGCGTGCGCTCCCCGCGCCAAGGGGACCGGAGGACGCCTGGGGTGGCGAGTGAACAAACCGTCCCGGGACGGGAAAGGCAATCCATTTTCGTGACGGAGACAAAAGAATCGCCATCCAAACGAGGTAAAGACTAACTATAGCCTCACCGCCAGAATAATATCGTAGCGCGATCGAACGTTACCACTTGGAATCGCGTATGGTTTCATAGGTGGCGTATTCGTTTCCGGCCAACCTTCGTTTATAAAGCCACGCTCCGTTTCGCTTACTATTCGTCTTAACCGACGGTTTCGTTCGACTCCGCGGTGGGAATTTCGAAAAATCCCTTCTTAGCCTACAAATTTCCACTTCCGACTCGTAATGGTTGGGGCTCCGCGCTTATTATCATTATCAATAGGCTTACCATAGAATTTTTTTCTGAAATTTTGAGAAAATTAGCCTACTGGGACAAGTAGCCGCCATTGAAAAGGCTAAATAAAGTAGTTAAAAGCAATTTTTAATAACTGAACTTGCGGCGGTCGGCAACACTGCGCCTGACCACCGTCCCCAACCCGTGCGACGTCAGAGGTCGAGGTTCACTCTTTTTGGGTCGACGTGCTCAGGTTCGGACGCTCATCCCCACTGTCCGACCTTTGTCTACAGGATCGGCGTTGTTCTAACCATCTGTACATAGATTTGTGATTATCGGTAAATAAACGACATTCGGATCCTTCTTTCAACCCTAGAATGTATAGCTGGACGTCACGACGATCCCGTTCGCGGATGCGATCGGATTGAGCGATCTGAGTAACTTCAATTATTTAGAGGAAACATTAATGGTCCCCTCAAACTAAACGCGTCTTATTATTAATACTTATCGCTAGCGCCAACTTTGTCGTTTAAATCGGTACATTTAAAATATGACAATAGGTTGGAGGAAGTGGCTTTACGTTTCGCACATTTCAAACAATTTTTAATGTTCGAACGCCCACCACGGGTTACCGAAAATTCCGAAAAGCGCAGTTGGCGCCATCGCGGACATTTTTTCGCTCCATTTCTTTTCGGCATTTCAGAGATTAAAAGTACTTAGATGTAGATACGAAATATTTAGACGGGCAACGGCGAGTGTAGCGGAAGGGCGAGTGCTTTTAAAATTTTACCAAATAACCGGGACGTCTGGTAAGCCTAATTATCCACCCATCTCCATTATAAGATTAACCCGGCGGTCGCCATTCGTCTCCGACAGAGGGCGCCACGCACTCTATACCCAAGACGATAAATTTCCGTTTCCGTCTCCGGAGACGGAATTTCTGGCTTTCTTTTGGTTTAAACGGCCGACCAAAGGGAACGACCCGAGTCCGTAATTCTAGGGAAAAGCCCAACTCCGGGTTCCTTCCTAAGGTACGACTCGGTCCGCGTCCGCGGTGTCGGCCATTTTTAGACGATTTCGACGGCGACTAACGACTAACCACCGATCGATTAAGTCTGGGATATTCCGGTCGGCCATCGATTAGCTAATCCAAACGAAACGCATTTCGTATCTACGTATAATTGTATTTACCCCGTTGGCAACGCCACAAAACTCTTTCGCTCTGGGATTTCTATCGGTAATAAAGCCCGTGGTTAACTCGGCGGAACGTAAAGTTTCTTCCACCACAATTTTAAATAACAATAAGTAACGGGCGCCAAAGGAGACGATAAAACCACCGCTTACGTCGGTGGCTACGGAAACGAAAGTGGGTCGGCGGACTTCTTTAATTCGATTATTTTCGGCTATCTTACCATACGATCGACCGCGATAATAAGCGCGGAGGCGTCGAAAGTGGAAATTTGGTACGCTAAGAAGGGATTTTCGAAATACCCCCGCGGGGAGAGGGGGGTTAACCATTACCCCGTACTATTTTACGCCTCTTTTTTCATTTATGCCGGACAACGAACGTATGTTTAGACCCTGCTAAAAATTCTCTAGTTAGTCTCGGAAGAGGGGGACCGGATTCTCGCCCTGGATGAAAAGGATAAGATGGGCCGTAATCTAATAATATTCGTCTCGGCTCTCGTGGCTTTTTGTCCGCTAGTTAATTAAATAGTTGGAGAAATAAATTAAAAATTGCAATTTTTATACGAAAATATTGCCACCGGCGCGTAGCAATTCTATCCCGTTACAACGAATATTTTTGTACAAAGGATGGTTGTTTTCGGTAGAATTTATAGAAATTACTTTAATTATACGCGGGTTACATCCGGGAGATTATCGGAGCGCGGTTTTCCAATCGGACAAAATGGCCTAGCGGCCCGCCTTCTGCCGGGCTATTAGTCGTCGGTTAGGCGCCAGCCTGGAAAAATCACTCGACTAACGTTAAAATGGCGCGGACCAAATGAAACGTCGGACTCACCCAGGTACTTGGCCACGCCCAGCGTGACGTTGTCGACGAAGGAGAACAGATCCAACAGCCCGGCCGCTCTCTCCGACATGACTGCCGCCTCGGCCGGCCGTTTACGCTCCTGGCGCCCCCGCGCGGTTATTTTCCGTTGGCTTTTATTCGTCTGGACCCAGTCTTTTTTCTTTCCCGTCGGCCGACAACCGCTATTCCGGACGGGTCCGGGATTATTTATTTATTCGAGTCTCCGTCCGTCGGCAGCAATTTCCGGCTTCGAAGACGCCGCCTCTAGGCCTATGGCCGCCATCCCTTTCCGTCGGGTATCGAGTAATTACCGCGGCTCGGCGGCTCGGTCCGGAATCGATCCATCGATCCGTCCGTTCGTCGCCCGCGGAAATTTAATAAACGGGTCTCCGGTCGGGGCGCCGCCCGGTCGCGCCAAAGCGCGTCGGGACGCAAAATGGCGGAGGCCCGAACGAACGCGGACCGGGGAGGGGGACCTCCGCTCTTCCGATATTTATCACCCAACGGCTACGGCGTCCGTTCCGCCGTTAAAACCCGCGGAAGTCGACTTCCGCTCCTCTCCCTCTTCCCGGGAGGACCGGTCTCCGGGAGAAGAAAGAGAAGCGGAGGAGAAGGCCGGAGACCGGAGGGACCCGTTACGGGAGAAAGAGCGGAGTTGGTCTCTTCCGTCGGTGGCCTCCCCGGGAAAAACCCGGGAGTCGGCGCCTGCGCGGAAGGCGGCGGGCGGCCGTGGTCGGCCACCTCGGATCCAGAGCCGAGTGGCCGTCGGAGCGCGCGGACGTCGGCCCCAGGGTGGAATGTAGCGTAGAGGCCATGAAGAAGCGGGCCGCTCCATCGGACGACGGACCCTCCGCCGGGGCCGTTCCGGACGGTGAGTGCCTCTTTTTCTCTCGCCGAAGGGTGGGGCGGAAAGCGCCACCCTTCCACTTCCTTCTCGTCCGGCGCCAAACCATCTTTCTTTCGTCCTTCCGGGTAGTCCGGAAGCGGCCGCGGCGGCGTCCGAGTGCGGGGTGCGGGGGGCGGAAGGACGGACGACGCCTTCCCGCCTCCCGTCGGCCGGAACGGCGGCGAGCATCGGGCGCGCGAAGAGAGAAGCGAAAGGGGCGGGCCGCGCGTCCGTCGAAGCCGAAATCTTTCCGGGCCGGAACGGACGAAGCTCCGACTCCCGCCCGCTCCGCTGGCCGGGTTCCTTTCCGGGAGCGAGTAGAAATGGCTTTCGGACGCCGAGGTAGTTTCCGAAGGAAAATAGAGAAAGGGCGTTTTTGTATCCTTCTCCGCGGAAGGGCGACTGGGGCAGCGCATTTGTACGCGAAGAGAGGAGAGCGGCGTCCGGATCGATGGGAGGGAAGGAGAAACGCCGGGCGTCCGGCGTTAATTAAAGAACCCGACGTCCGGGAAAGGGCAATTTCCTCCCCACCGTTGCCGGCCACGGTTTTTCCGGCGCAAACGGTGGCCGGAAAGGGCAGTTTCGGCGTAATTTCTCCGGTAGAAGTGGCGCTTCCTTCGGTCGTCGGCCGCGGAAATTTCCCCGATCGATATTATTACCGTTTTCGCCGCCCGGGGGGGGGGGAATGTCTCCTTCCTTCCCCGGCACTGGTGGTCCGGCCGAGGAGGAATGAAGAGAAATGGCGGGGTGAAAGGGAGAAAAGGACACTTTGGCAAATTTCTGGGAATTTTAAAAAAGGACGCGTTTAGAAAGGCGCAATGGTCTTACTACCGCGCCGTATTAAACCGTTGGTAGTGGTTATCCGGGCCGGCGGCCGTCGTCGCCGCCCGATCGATGGGGCCTATTCTTCCCGTCGTAGGCGTTTTTTATTGGCGGGATGGAATTCGAAAGTTTAGGAAAATGCGGGAAAGGAGACGGTCGGTTGCTACGGTTTATTTATTGTAAAATATATTTTATCGATTTTAGTAGTGTCTCGCCCCCGTACGTCGCGCTTTTCCCACAACTCCCTTCCGAAGAAGACTTTTAAATCGAAATGGCCAGTCGCGTTATTCCAATTTGAAAATTTCTCTCCGAAAGCGGTTGGCTAGACGACCGGCACCGCTCGGTGGCTAACGAGGAAAGTACGATGTACGGGGGCGATTACCTACTAATTTCCAGTGGATGGCAATCATTTAAATTAGCGGCCCGGCGTTGTTTAGCGCGAAAACCGTTCCGAACCGAGCATGGCGCAGTCGTCCCGGTGATTGAGATGGCCGAATTCGCACCCGCACGCGTTACGCCAAATACGACCGCGGAGGTCCCAGCCGGTTACAGCGGGGATTCCCCACTACCCCGGGGTTCCGCCATAAAACCGTCGATTCTAGCCACGTACGAATGCGCCGATGCGCATTTGTTCTGATCTCGGAAAGTATAAAAACTAGAAAATCATCGAAAAAGTTATAAATACCATCATTAAATACGCTTTAAATGAATTAATGTCCCATCATCTGTAGCGTGTCGGTGCGCCAAGGTAGGACTCGTAGCGCTTTTAGTATCGGAGACAAGGAATTTCCAAGAAAAACGTATCGAGTACTTGGGAATGTTTCTAGTGACGGAGACTGGGAAGGCCGTACAAAATCCGGAATTAACATTAGCGCCCGGTACTGTATTACACCATATCTAACCAACCTGGCGCTAAATCGCTTATCGCTTTGGGATTTTCCGTAACGTTAATGACCGAAGATATACTGTCTTCTGCCGTATTACGTACTGTACTGTACGGTGGAAAAATAGTTACCGGTGTCTGGGCTAATCGACGGACAGACAGGATAAAGAGGATCCGGATTGCCGAGTGGTCTTTATTCCCATTCGCTAAAACAACTCGTACGACGGGCCGTACGCGATAAATATTTGTTGGGCGTACACCCGAATTCGGACTTTTGGACCGTCGAAACCGCGGCAAATATTTTCAGAGTTTTCTTTGTCGGTAAATCTCGCGTGACTCCCGGCGGAGGGGAGGGGGTGAGAAGCGCGGCCGTACTAAAAGACGATTGGTTTTTTGACAGTGACGACCTCGACTCTGGTGGGCATCTGCGTAGGAGGATTGCTGTTCGTGGTGTCCGTGGCCGTGGTGGCTTACTTCTGCTACAAGAAGAGGGGCGAGCGACTGGGATACAAACCGCGTTCGGATCCGGAGAAGAACGCCCCCGACAAGCCCCTGGTGCCCAGAAAGCCGTCGGCGGTCAAGAGTCCCAACGGAGGTCCCGCCAGACCCGTTCTGAGGAAGAGCTCGGCACCGCCGGGTCCCGGAAACTTTCCCCCCGGGAGGCGCTGTCCTCCGGAGGACGGAGAGACCGAGAAGCGTGACCCCTGCAAAAACCCGGGACGAAACACGGAGGCCAAGCGGACGACGTCGTTTTCGGAGAACGAGAAGGACCGGAACGGAGAGAAGGACAACAGGGAGACGGAGAGGGAGGAGAACGAAAAGAACAAACTGGGCAAACTGCACTTCGAGTTGAAGTACGACGCCGAGAAGAACTCTCTGCTGGTGACCATCTGCAAGTGCACCGACCTTCCTCCCAAAGACCGGAACGCCGGCACCTGCGACCCCTACGTCAAACTGCAGCTGCTGCCCGAGAAGCAGTACCGAGTCAAGACCAGGGTGCTGAGGAAGACCGTCGACCCCGTCTACGGCGAAGACTTCACCTTTTACGGAATCGGCGCCGGTCAGCTGCGGGCCCTGACGCTGCATTTCGTGGTGCTAGGTTTCGACCGCTATTCCAGGGACGACGTCATCGGCGAGGTGGTCCGTCCCCTGTCCGAGGTGGAGATGGAGAAACTGAAGAAGCGCACCTCCTTCTGCGAAGAGATCGCGCCCAGAAATTGGAAGGTAAGTCTCCGTCGACCGGCGAGAGATTGGCGGCCCTTTTTAATTTCTCCTTCTTTCAGTTGAGGGCCCAAGGTCACGGGGAGCTGCTGGTGTCGCTGTGCCACCAACCCGCCTCCAACAGGTTGACCGTGGTGGTGCTGAAAGCGCGAAACTTGCCGAAATTGGACGTCGCGGGACTGTGCGGTAAGTGGGCGGTAGAGGCGACCCCGGGCGCTCGCGCCGACCAGCGATAACCTGCCAATCGTTTCAGATCCCTACGTGAAAATATATCTGCTGTACAACAACCAGCGCATCGCCAAGAAGAAGACCCACGTCAAGAAGCGCACCGTCAATCCGGTGTTCAACGAGTCCTTTCTGTTCGAGGTGCCCTTCAACGAGGGACTGAGCCACGTGGGTCTGGAGTTTCTGCTACTGGACTGGGACCGCGTGACCAAGAACGAGGTGATCGGCAGGCTGGAGATGGGGCGCGGAGCCTCGGGCTCCGCCCTGGACCATTGGCTGGAGGCGTGCTCGTCGCCCAGGAGACAGATCGCCCAGTGGCACAAACTGGGGGAGTGACGCGCACGCTGTACGCACCGCCTTTCTTCACCGTCGGCCTTCGAACCTTCGGGATCCATCCGCCAACGTTTCGGTTTGGCTCGGGCGCGGAAGCCGGCTTCCGTCGTCCGTCGGAAAATGCGGAAGGAAGAGGGCGCCCCGGAAGTCCGTTTCCCCGCGGTCCCCCGAGCGGCCGACCCTCACCGGTTTCCGAGCGCCCGAACGGAGTTTTCCGTAAACGCCGGGCGCGGCGCGCGAGCTAAAGTCTGGAGACCGCGGGGGCGGTCGGAGATTTTTCGCCAACCGTTTTGGCAGCGAAATCCGTCGGGCCCCGGAGGCGCGGAGCAGAATTTTTCGTCTAGATCTACTTTTGCCGGAATAAAGGCCGAGTACGTAAATAACCAGTGAATTGGGAGAAAGAAACCGCCCAGCCCGGTGTTATTTATTTTTTTTAAACTTTCCGTTGTCAATAATTGTTTCGTACGTAAAAAGTGGAAACCTTTCCTCCATAAATTACTTCGAACCACGTTCAGTTATTAAGGAATGGATAAGGAAGTTTTGGCATAACTGCGAGCTTCGTTACACCTTATTTTCCAAGTTTTAACATCCGATGCGCTTAAACGCAACCTACCGGCTAATAATAGGACGGTTTAAAACCTTACCAGAGGTTCTGCCACCGGCCGTTTTAAGCCCGGGCCGCGGGCCGAACAAAGACTTTGCTGTCGGCTCCGGCGCCGATGGCCCGATTCCTTTAGCCAAACGGGGCGGCGGGGAATTTTCCGGGCCGGACCCCAAGCCGTTATTGGAAACGACCGGCGCCGCCTGGCCGTCCTCCGCCTCGCGCGGCGGGCGCGCTCGACGTCGACGTCTCACTACCCGAAGTCCTTCTCGGTGGACGCCGCGTTCTCCGTACGTAACTATCCGGACGCGTCTTTCCGAATTCTCCCCGTTCCCCCTCCTCTTCCTCTCCGTTAACCGGCGGCCGGACGGCGGACCGAGTGCCGGGCCCGGTCGAATCGGATCCCGCGCGGACGCTTTCGTACGCGAGTGTTAAACGTTAAGAAATAAAAGCCAACGTATCGTGGAATCTCGCCCTTGTCGTAAGTCTTAAAGCCCGGATCCGCGGCGCGGCCTCCGTGGATGGTGTTATCACGTTCTAATAAAGATGTTTTAGTATGTTTATCGCGCCTGGTCGTCTTTCTTTCCCTCCGCTAAACAGGAAGGCGGATCGACAAGCCTTCCGTTTCCCCGCGCGCGGACAACTCCCGCCGGTCGGCGGGAAAAGGCGCTTCTGGCGTTTAACTGGCTGCCGGAAGGGGAAGGAAAATAATTAAAAAGCAGAAAATCGCCTCCTTAACGTCTTTCGGCCCGGTTTACCCACCGCTTTTCTTTCCTCGGTAATTTCGCCCACCTGTCGATTGGGAAAAGGGATGGGTCTCTCCCGGACCGCGGCGGCGGGCCGGGAGAGTTCCCGGTGGAAAGGCGGATCGGCCGCCTCCCGCGTCGCGTAAAGAAAATACGGCGCGAAATCGATTATGCCAATTAATTCGGACGCGCCGCGCGGGGAAAGAACAAAACAATAACTTTAAGATTTCTTCGTTAATTTTTCGCCCATAAAATACTCCGGCAACATTTAAAACCGCGCCGTCCGTTAGCGTATTTTATTATTAAAACTTTTTATATTTTTAGTTATTATAAAAGGTCAAAAAGTTTAATTTCCGGGGTAGGACGGGTTTTATAAAAAAGACTAAACGCTAATAACCGAGAAAACGGCCGTTGAGTCGCGCCCTTTAATGGAGATTTAATCGCATCCGTCCGTGGCGGCCGAATTTGACAAATCTTCCGGCAAAAGAACGGGAGTTATTTAACTGGGAAGGGGGCGAAGAAGTTACCACTGCGGGAAAACGACGGCGTAAGGAAGGCTTTTCTGCGGGCGCCGCCGTTACTCCGGTCAAAATGCTATGGAATGAAAAAGAATCGAAGGTTAAGAACACGCCGACGACGGTAGACCGCCTATCCCCATTAATCTTAAGGTTTTTCGGTTTTACGCCAGTGGCTACGCGGCGATAATTTTCGGTTAAGCCGGAACTTATCGTTGGGTTTAGCTTATTTTACGCTTTAACCATTGGCCAATGGCGCCCGCCAAGGATTTCCCCAAACTTCGGCAACCGGGAAGCGACGTAAATAGATACCGTCTGCGTAACGTTTTTATTTTATATTCGTGGCTTAAATAAAATAAAAATCGGTATCGACGTAGCGTAATATCTTATAATACGACGGAGACGGGCGGATAATATTAATAACGACGACGGTTTATAATAGGCGATATACGAAAGTCCTTAATTATACGAATCTACTTTATTTTTAGAAAAAGTATGGCGAACGACGGTAGATTGGTAATTTACGATATAAAATATATAAAGTAGAATTTTCCATACGGAGACGATTGGCGAATAACCAATAGATTTTAATTGGGCGGTATTTATCGTCGGCCGCGTATAACGAATTATTTTAGTTTAATAAATAACCGTAATAATATATAAGCGCTAGGCGGTAGAAACGTTTAATATTCTATCAACGTACATATTATATACGGTATCGATCCGTTTCTTAGTAATAACTTCCGTACGTTACTAAGACTGGGCTTAGGCTATATCCGCGCCATCCAATAAGCTCCTCTTAATACCCGAAACCATAGGCTTAATCCGATTTTCGGATACGTTCGAACGACGATGGAAGGGAAAAACGCCGGAGTAGAAAATCGAAAGAAGGACCGGCCAATGGCGGAAAAGACGGAAGTAGAAGAATCCATCTCCCTCTAACGCAGAAAATAACGCGTTTTATTATATCGAACGTACGACGAAAAGACTACCCGTCGGTAGTTACGAAAAGTTGCCTACTTTATTCCGCTAAAAGCGCGCATGGATGGTTTTTATGCGGCCTACGGAAACGGGAGAAGAAACGAAACCGTAATCGAAATGGAGAAATTTCATTTTAATTAAAGAATGTGGCGACGTAATAGAAAAATAATAAATCGTTTTATAACGTTTACGCTTAAACTCTTTGGTTTAAAAAAGAAAAAAATTCTTTTTATTCTTTTTACTTTTCCTCCGTTATATGTAACGGGGAGAAGTAAAGACCAGTCGCGCTACGACACGCCGCCCGGCTTAACGCCCGTTCGACGTAACGCGGTCCGCTCCCAGCCTAAAATAAAGCTAGAAATTTCCGCCCGTTTAATTTATGGCGGCATTTTATCCATTCGTACGTAATACCATCGTTGGCCGATAGGAAAAAGTAACGCGTCTCGTACGCCTAAAGATTTTCTTTCCAACTCGGAATTCACCGTCCGTCCGTCCAAAAACAAAGTTCCTTTTTGTTTTATTACTTACATTATTCGGATTAAAAAACTGTTTATAACCATACTCTTGTATAAAAAAAAGGCCTGTACGTAAATTACACAAGTTTCCATAGTTTATTAATAATAAATAAAGGTATATTATATGTCGAGTCGAATAGTTTTTTAATTGTCTAAGTATTTAGAAGGCGTTATGGTAAATATTTATTAGAAAAACCTCGATAAAACGTAAGCGCGATACCTATACTCGTAATAGTTTAACTTTTCGATAAAAGCATTAAGAAAACAAAACGATAATTTATATAAAGGTCGTTAAAGTAAGTAAAACCTTAACTGTTCAAAAACACCTTCGATGATAATCTTAAACGTACGTAACGTTTAATATCTTATAATATAATCGAAATGGGTCGAAATTCCCCCCGCGGGGAGAGAGGACTAAGGCTCGGCCGGTATCGTACTATTTTAGATGCGGTTTTTTGCCTTTTCGCAGGAAATCAAACGTATTTTTAGACAACGTAAAAATTCTCTAATTAATCTCGGAAGAGGAAGACACCCGGGTAAGACGGGCTATAATCTAATAATGTTAATCCGCGCTATCCTTACTTTTTGCCCCAGCCGGGTCGGGCTCGTCCGCTAGTAATTAAATAAAATATCGCCGGTGGAAAAAACTGGTTTTGCCAGTGTACTTCGAAGCTTCGATCGTAATTACCGGGTTTAAACGCTGTATTTTTACAAAATGATTACTTTTTCTCGGCCATCGGTAACCAGTCGACGTAAAATTAATCGTATATTATCGTTCGACGTAACGATATAGGCCGCCGGTAGCCGTTCGCCCACAATTTTATACCGCCGAACGATTATCGGCGGCGGGTGGGGCCGTTTTACGTAGTATTATCGAAACAAATATATATAGGAAGAAGGTGGTATTACGGAACCCCTCCGTTTCGAACCGTAGCGGATTGTGGCCGGACCGCGCTAGGCAGACGACCGTAGCCAGGGAAAAACCGTTTCGCTCGGGTTAAACCGGTGTTTCTCGTCGCCCCCTTCCACGAAACCGTTACGTAGTATCGCTCCCTTCGCTTCAAAATTCCGATGCCGAGGGCCGAGGCTAAAGCTTACTTCACACTGAGCGAATAGCGAAAGCGAATGTAAAAAGCGAAAAGCGATGGCGAATTTTAAGCGGCCGATTATTTGCAAGCCAGTGAAAACGTCGTCTCCAAAAACAAAATGGCCACTTCCGATATTCCGTCGTTAACCGCGTTTGATTATTTATTGGGAAAGAAAGATGCGTAAAAAAAATACTGGATGAGAGGAATGTTAAAACTCCGGAATTACAACATTTACTCTATTGCGCGAGAAAGTTTCCGTAGCTAACTTAAAAACAACAAGAACCACGCGACAACTAACGGGAATACGATTGGTGACGAAATTTTTTCGCTAGCGAAAAAGCTCGACACTTCCGAACTTCGAAGCGATTGGCGAAATGGCAAAATTCGCCGGAAACGACGTCGTGTCTGACGTGTTATTCGCTCTGTTTTACGTTTTCGCTGGAGAATGGCGTTGAGTGTCAACTAAGCTTAACGCCAAACTCGTACCGCATCGAACAGACTAGTGACTAGTATAATGTTATTTGTTTAATTATCGTACGATATAACCAATAAAATATCTAATTATTCTTAATATACTGTTTTACTATACCGCCCAGAAAATTGCTTTTCGCCCTCCCAAAATATAAATTGTTGATAATCGCCCCCGAACGTGGAAAAACGCCCACACGGGGGCGATATCGCCCCGTTGAGAAACACTGGGTTAAACGGTTGTCCGTAGTGAATCGGCAAATTTTTGTTTTTCGAAATTCGAAAGTTTTGTATGGTAAGCGAATTTATTTCTAAAATATAAATCTTGTAGTTGTAGGTTGGCCGGTGCGCGTATTCCGTTGCAGAGACTTAGGGGTACGTATTAATCCGCGCGACGTTCACGTTTTTTAAAGTCCGGTCTCGACGGACCTAAGTTAATTGGAGACGGCGACGCGCGAAATACGGACCCCATTGGTGCTTTTAATACGGAACCCGTCTAACTTTTGTAAAAAGTATGTGGTAGACGAATGAAAAAATAGAAGGAAAATGAAAAAAGTAAAAATAGATACCTAACACTATAGGAGCATTATATTCGTGATTTTTGTAAATGATTAGCTTCTTCTTTGTACGTTTCTTTTATTATTATTATTATTATTATAAAAGCATTTTTTCCATAAAATACACCGGAGTAAATAATCTTGTAATTATTCAACGTTCTTTGTACTTTCCTATTTGTTTTCGGATACATTAAAGCATTTTTTGAAAACGTACGGTAAGGTTCCGTATTACCGCCCGATTCTCCCTAAATCTACTTTCTGACTTTTTGTACAAAAACCTCCAAAAACAGTACTTATAGTTACACTGGCGAAAAATCCAATTAGGAACATCTAATCTAACAGTTACAGTGGCGTACCGTGGGTGTCAGCCGCCCGGGGCGGAGGAAAATTTCGGCCCCCCTTATTTAGGTATTTCAATTTAAAAGACCAAAATTCAGTTTTGTCACAGAACAATCAATGAAATTCGGTGGTAGTGCAGCGACCTGTTTAAAATAGTTCTATTGGATATTAGTGGTGTATATGAACGCGAATGAATCGTACAAGCGAATAAAAAAAAAGTCAACAGGTTTCGCAGGATTTCCTTGGATTAAAAATTACTAGGCGAGCCGATTCTCGGACTGTCCGGACTGTATCGTAGGCGCGATGCAAGTATAGATTAGGATGGTTCAAATTTTTACAAGACATTATTATTATTTATTGTGCAATTTTGCCGCCCCCACTACGGTACGCCACTGACCGGCACTTTTCGCACAAAAAATGTGGTGTAGTTACCATACCTCGTTTACAATTCGCTATAATGTAATTGGAGTTCCGTAATACCACCTTCTCCTCTATCCATTTGCGCTCCGTTTTCAAACGGCAGCTTCGACGTCCGTCCCGCAGGATATTACCGGCACTTTAAACTTTAAGGGAAAATCTTATAAAATCGACGGCGTTTTCGCCAATTCTTAACGCTCGAATCCGCTCTCCGCGGGGCAATAACACTTAACGGCTTCTCTCAATTCCGATTTCCGAGTAATCGCCCGTTTTGGCGCGGGAAGAGACGAAAACTTACATCGGAAGGCAAAAGGAAAAGCAAAGCTTCGATCGCCATTCGTTTTTACTGCCGACGACAGACGACAGCGGTTTTTAAACGCCGGAGGGCGAGCATTTCGCTAACGCCTGGGTAAGCCGAGACGACGTTAGATTAGGGAGAACGAAGATAGAGTTAATTTTTTCCCATCTAGGCTGGCCGACATCGGCGGCGCCAAACCCGATTTTTGGCCTAACGGATCGGTAACCTTACCCCTCTCCGTCGGCTCCTGGCAAACCGTAAATATCGGCAATTACCGACTGGCAGATATTTCGCGCGGTTAGGCTCCGTGACCATTGTACTGTACTTACTCGGTTAAAAGATCCCACTTTTCGGGCGTTCGTAGCTTCTGCCCAAAATGTTAACGTCCCGGCGTCCCAACGGTCGATACCCCGCGCGGACCGGATAAACTATACAATTTCTTTTATTCTCTCCCCCAAAAATTTCCGGGGTTTTCCACCGGAACGGTAGGCCCGCGGCTCCGGGTGGGCGGAAAGTTCCCGAAGGGAAGTACTCGGAGGATGGCCGCGTAACCCCGTTCGATTTTAAGCGGGTAAGGCAATTTCCCCGGGAAATGAAAAATATTTAGACCGACGATAAAATGACTTAAGTCGGCACCGGCCAAACCCACACCGAAAGACGTCGGGTAGAGGCGGCAGCCCACCGTAGCGGGGATCCGGCATCGAATCCGGATAAAAAAATTCCCGGAAATTTTACGGGGGGGTCCAACCGGTCTCGTCCCTGGCCGGCTAAAAAGAGGCTTTCTTAGCACCCACGGGGCGGACGGAGTTAAAAAAAAATTTACCGAGCGCAACGCATTGGGACCGGTAAGGTCCGGACGGACGGAAGCCGGACCCACCGGTGACCGAGCGGTCTTCGTTCCCCGAACACTGGGAGTTCGATCGTGGGTTCGCGCCTGGCTGGCCACGTGAAGTTTTCCGGGTTTTCTCCACGTCCGTAACGCGTAAATAGGGACAGTTTCTCTTAAAGACCTCCCGGAAGGCATCTCCCTAGGCGGGTCGCCCGAGTGTCGCGTTGCCATAACTAAATAAACAAACAAACGGACGGAAGCCCAGTCGCGGTCTCCTTTAGCTACTTATTTTTATTTGGACGAAGAAAATACGTAGGAAATTTCTTTATTAACAGAGACGAGTCTCGGCCATTTTACCTTCCCCGGACCAAAATAACGATGGTTTACGGGGCCGGAGAGCCGGGACTAGAAAAAACCCCGTCTCCTCCCGGACGACTGTGGCTCTCGTTTCGAAGAACAGAAGGGAAGGGAAGCGTGGAAGGGAATTTGGTCGCCGGAGGCGGGTAGGTTAAAAGGGCGCCGAGTGGTCTTCCGGACGGCGAATTTGGTCCAGAATCCTCCGGGACAATTCTCGTATCCGCAGCTCTTCTTCTCCGCCGGTATTTTCCCAGACGCGGCGTAAGCTTCTTTCTCGCCACCTGGAAAACAAAGGCCTCCATTAAAGGCGACGGTTTTGGCTTCGACCCCGGAAAGAAAGAATATTCTTTACACGAGGTTAATTTAAAGGAAAGGAAATATTAAATAAAAAGTATTACCTCGAATCTCCGGCCACTTCCGCCGCGGCGGCCGTCAGGAAGTGGGAAATGGGGCTGCGGGGGCGCAGCCGGGCCGCTTCCTCCGCGTTTCTTCGGCAGACGGACTCGTAACGGTGCCGGCCGGGATCTTCCTGAAAATGCGCCATCGATAAGTAATGGCCGGCCGACCTTTTCCGTTTATTTTTATTTAATTAAAGACGACGTAAATATAATACATATTTGACAGAAAAAAGGAGGCAAAAGACTGTATAAACAAACTTAAAGTACTCCGTAACGTGCAAATGATTATTACTTTTGTCAACACCCTGGTAGAACGTGGTTTAACCACGGTCGGCATCGATAACGATGGATCATTTAAAAGCAATTTCTTCTTTTAAAACGATTGGTTTTACAAAATACCTACGGTCGTACTGTCGAGCGTCAAGATTTTTGTTTAAACGGCAATAATAATAATAATGGTGTTTCTGTGGCAATGCATCCACAGACCACAAAGGCTGGAAACCATGCCAACGGATGAAATGGACAACAGAAATGAACGAGTTTATCATTCGTACTTACTACACCATCACAAGACTGGAAACAAACAAGACAGCATACAGACAACAACTACACCACAAATTCACACAACAATATCCTCGCCTCACTGTCACCGAACAAAGGGATGTCCATCAAAAAAGAACAGAGTGTAGAGTTGTAGTGTGATGATACGCGGTAAAAGGTTTATAGATACGAGTTGGATTATAGTAATACGGTGCAGATATCCCACCATTTTTTTCAAAAAAGAACAATTATACACAACAACCTTATCCCACAAACAACACTTGAACTTATCAAACAACAGGTTGCTGATCAAATACATCAACAGACAGAAACATTTAACATTAATGAAGATCACGTAACCTGTCAGGATAATCCAGCAACAAGCACTGATTACAGCACACACACAACAAGTACCACTAATGATACTGCAGGCACTTCCCCATCCATCACTGATAACGTAGACATAGAATTAGTTAATACACTCTCACTTATATTTCAGGAAACACTCACTAAATATACAGGTACAGATCCCACACAAAGACCACGAATACCGAAAATCAACACGTCAAAGGTAGTAGGAAAAACACTAAATTATGTAAACACTCACTTACTACCAAACTACATTCATTCAATTTCTACACTCTCAGACATTCATACATTAGTTTATGCTGGGGCAGTCACAGTAGTAACACACCATGGACTGAAAATACACTCACAGACAGACACACACAAAACACAATTCTATCACAAGCCTGCCTGGCAGAGAAGAATAGAAACACAAATAAATGACATTAGACAGCAATTAGGCAGGCTGACACAATACACTAAAAACAACATAACACCCAAATTAAAGAAACAACTCAAAAACATTTTCAAGAAAATCAAAACACACACAAAACATGAACATCACAACACACACATTACAGAATACATCGATACACTAAAACAAAAACTCGCAGCCAAAGCACGTAGACTCAAACGATACAAAACATGTACACTACGAAAACAACAAAATAAATTATTCACAAACAATGAAAAACTTTTCTACAGACAAATCAGTACCAAAACAAACACTGATACACAGCACAGTGGCACACCAACAGAAGAAGAACTCACAACTTATTGGTCTTCTCTTTGGTCCAATGCTGTTACACACAATGCTGATGCAGGCTGGATCGAGGAGGAGAACAGAAACTTGCACAACATACCAACTATGCCCTGTGCTGAAATAAACATACACGACATTCGCTACGCTGTTAACAGAACACACAACTGGAAGACACCTGGTGTAGACAACATTCACAATTTCTGGTACAAAAAGTTTACATCACTGCACCAGGAACTAGCTAAACATCTAACACACATCATCATCAATCCACAAGACATGCCAAAATTTCTTACTCGGGGCATTACCTACATGAAACCTAAAAACAACAAAACCACAGACCCCACACAATACAGACCAATTACATGTCTTCCAACACTCTACAAATTATTGACATCCTGTATCACAAACAAAATATACAAACATGTTGAAGAACACGACATTCTTACAGAACAACAAAAAGGTTGCCGTAGAAATCACAGGGGATGCAAAGAACAGTTACTCATAGATTCAGTCATTCTACGGCAAGCACACAAACAACACAGAAACATACACATGGCATATATAGACTACAGAAAAGCATTCGACAGTGCCACACAGTTTTGTGCTACATATTCTACACATGTACAAAATACATCCATCACTCATTGCATTCTTCGAAAACACTATGCAGCACTGGAGAACAACACTGCATCTCAGGGTTAGAGTAACACTTCCATACAAACAAACGAAATATTCATAAGGCGAGGAATTTTTCAAGGAGATTCCTTGAGTCCTCTCTGGTTCTGCCTAGCCCCGAATCCATTATCCAACATGTTAAACAACACACATTATGGCTACAATATCAGACACGAAAAAACAACACAGTTTACACTCTCACATCTCATGTACATGGACGACATAAAACTTTATGCATCCACACAAAAACAACTTCATCAACTCCTACAAATCACACATTCATACACCAAGGACATAGAAATGGAGTTTGGCTTAGACAAATGCAAAACACTTCACATAGAAAAAGGAATCCCGAAGAAAGATTTTGCACTTGGAAATGGAGAAGATATTGAATCCACAAAAGAGGGTGAGTTCTACAAGTATTTAGGATTCCAGCAAGCCAAACTAACAGAACATAGACAAATAAAGCAAAGATTAATTAAAGAATATCAAAGTAGGTTAAATGCCATTCTCAAAACACAGCTAAATGCAAAACACACAGTTAAAGCAATAAACACATATGTCATCCCAGTACTCACTTACTCTTTCGGAGTTATACATTGAACTCACACAGATCTTGAGCAACTCCAAAGGAAAACAAGAACAACACTTACTAAGCATAAACAACATCATCCTAAATCTGCCACAGAAAGATTAACCCTTCCACGTAAAGAAGGCGGACGTGGCCTGATTGACGTAGTTAACCTTCACTACAAACAAATACAGTCACTGCGAGAGAGTTTCTACAAGAAACAAGAGACATCACAGTTACATAAAACAGTAACTCTAGCAGACTCAAATAACACACCATTAAACTTACACTCACATCATACAGACATGACACAACATATAAAAAGCATAGACACCATTAAGCAATCATGNGAGAGTTTTTCTACAGGAAACAAGAGACATCACAGTTACATAAAACAGTAACTCTAGCAGACTCAAATAACACACCATTAAACTTACACTCACATCATACAGACATGACACAACACACAAAAAGCATAGACACCATTAAGCAATCGTGGACTCGAAAGGCACTCCATGGCAGGCATCCTTATGACCTGGCCCAGGATTTTGTTGACAAAACTGCGTCAAACAGCTGGTTAGATCGGGGATGCCTCTTTGGAGAGACGGAAAGATTCATGATTGCCATATAGCAGTGTTTCTCAACGGGGGCGATATCGCCCCCATGTGGGCGTTTTTCCATGTTGAGGGGGCAATTAGTAACAAACAGTACAACAATCAGTACAACAAACAGGATCAGTAACAATTTATATTTTGGGGGCGAAAAACAATTTTCTGGGCGATATAGTAAAACATTATATTAAGAATAATTAGATATTTTATTCGTTATATCGTACAATAATTAAACAAACAACATTATACTAGTCACTAGTCTGTTCGATGTGGTACGAATTTGGCATTAGTCTTGGTCCTTGGTATTGGAATTTTGAAGTGAAGGGAGCAATAATAGATAACGGTTTTATTGAAGGGGGCGACGATTCGTTAGAGGTTGAGAAACACTGCCATACAGGATCAGGTCATAAACACTAAAAACTACAGAAAACACATACTCAAAGATACAACCCTCACAAATGACATATGCAGAAAATGTCACATCATGCCAGAAACTATACAACACATCACTTCTGGTTGCAAGCTCTTGGCACAGACAGATTANTTGCCATACAGGATCAGGTCATAAACACTAAAAACTACAGAAAACACATACTCAAAGATACAACCCTCACAAATGACATATGCAGAAAATGTCACATCATGCCAGAAACTATACAACACATCACTTCTGGTTGCAAGCTCTTGGCACAGACAGATTACTTACATAGACACAATCAAGTAGCAAATATAATACATCAAGAGCTTGCAAACAAACACAAATTGGTAGACATCCTTGAACCATACTACAAGTATATTCCACAGACAGTATTGGAAAACAACACGTGCAAAATGTACTACGACAGAGCCATAATCACAGATAAAACAATTTACCACAACAGACCAGACATGACACTCATTGACATACACAATAAAATCACATACATTATAGACATGGCCATTCCAAACACTCACAATGTACAAAACACATGCACTGAAAAAATTGAAACTGAAAGCAAGTACACAGAACTCGCCCAGGAAATAAGGCATCTGTGGAGGAAGGATAGGGTGCTTATTGTACCTGTCGTTCTCTCCTGTACAGGTGTGATACCACACACGCCACACAAAAGCCTGGGAACATTACAATTGAGTAGAAACACATACATCACACTATAGAAGGCCACTATATTGAATACATGCCACATTGTTAGGAAATTCCTGAATACAGACATTGACACACTTATTTGATTTCAGTTTTATTTAGGGTGCTATGCCTTGACTCTGGTCTGGCATAGTATACAGCCACCGGTGTGAACCAAGTATAACCCACTAAACACAACAATAATAATAATAGCTGGTATCTAAAAAAAGAGTGTAAATTGTACGGACCTTTAGAATCCTGTAAGCGATTAACGACAATTGAATATGCAGCATCCATCTGGAAGAGGGAGATCTGTAAACAATAAACATTTTAATTAGTGTTTTTTGAAATTTTTATACAAAAAATGGAAAGGAAAATTTTTACGTCTTCTCGTATAATAAAAGTTGCTGTAAAAATTCTATTGCCTCCTCTTCTTTTTTCACTTTTAAATATAATTTCACCGTTTCCTAGAAAAAGCCTTTTTAGTTCCATTATAGTGTATTTATAAAAAATAAAATCTGGTTTAACTTACGAGAATGGCCCAGGTAAAGGTGGGTATTTTTCGACACTGGACCTCTAGTCGCTTCAAGCACTCGCCGTCTAAGCTAGTTGGACCATCGATCAAGTTGCATAAAATATTCATAAATTCTATCACGCGCAGAGTATAATTGTCTTTGGCCTCGACCTGCATTAACTTAAGAAATAAGAAAAAATCAAACAATGGAACGGATACAACGGAAATTGATAAAATACTAACCTTATCCAAAGTTAACTTTGCATCGGATAAGTTATTTGTATCCAAATGGTAAATGACTTTCTCCAGACATAAATATGTTAACAATTTTGTACAATGTTTGTTCGTTTCAACTAGAAAAAGTAAAATTAAATATATTGATTTTGCTTTAGCATAAATATAGTTTATGTAACACAAAACAAACTTACCAAGATTTTCAACAAACCTAAATAAATGATTAATGTTTGGAATTCTTGCTGCCCGAGAACACGTCAGAAGTAACACCCAATTTGAAGGAGAGTCTACGGAAATAAAAGTATTACCAACGAATTATCTAAATTTATAAATAATTTAAACCATGCACGTATATTAATCTAACCTGGACGAAGATGTAATAGTTTCTCCGATTCCTTCAGGCCCGATTTAACGTTTCCGGCAGCCAGATGACAGAGGGGGGTCAGCGGAGAATTTAACACAGTTTTATGAAGAAGGGAAGCGGCTTTCATTATTTTTAAACTAACGGAGGAATTATTATACTGATGAAGTAAAATAAATGCCAAATGAATCCAGGTGAAGCCATTGTTTGGAAATTTAAAAACGGCTTTGCATAGTTGACGTTTCGCATCTTCTTTTTTCTCCTAATTTCATCGTTGCCACTTTAGTTTTCTTATTTGATAAAATTAAATTAGTTTTTAAAAAGTTTTACCTGAATAATATAAAAGCAAGAATTGAGAAAAGTAATGGAAAATAGATATTTGGGATCATCTTTATATTGTTCGAGTTCAGCTAAAGTCGTTCTCGCTAACTTTGTGTCGTTTTCTAAGATTGATAAGGCACACAACATCCGTAATCCTTCGAAATAATTAACTTCTGAGCTGAAAATAAAGATAAATGATTATATAATTATAGCAAAAATTAAACATTCACTAAACTTAATTGTCTGCAACAACATCTAATGAATGGATTACTGCACGATTTAGTCAATCTATTCTCCAGAATGCACAAATAACAATCTTGTAAAATTCTAACATCGGATACCCAAAGAAAGTAGCACTTTGCAATAGACGCGACGTGCCTCTTTGTCTACAACTTGTAGATTGTACAAATTGGGACAAAATTCTTAAGCACTTTGACCTAAAAAGTTTATTGCACACCCACAAGAAATTACTTTAGAAGTCTAACTGATTTAAAAAAAGACTTCCAATGGAAAGATAAAAAGTGATACAAGAATTCAAAAAATGAACACGTCTACCCATTCAAAAAGCTACACACCCACAAAAGCAACAGAAAACTCGGGAGAAACGTTTCGGTCGACACAAATGTTTAAAAAAAATAACCCGAGCAATTCACAATACCAACCAGAATACAAATATAATTCTTGCCAAACACAAGATCTAGACAAAAATGCCTCGCTATGCTTTAAATCGGGAGTTTCCTCACCCTGTAAAATGACTAAAAGTAATCCAATATGACAGCACTATAGAAAAATTATTAAAAGAAATACCAAGAGTTGGCTCGGATTCAACAAACAACTTACAAGTTAGAAGCATCCCGCTTAACCAATGAGTGATCACTAGCGTTGTTGATAATACCTTCGACGCCCCAATGCCTACAAGAAAAGCCTGTATTACGGGCAACTAATTTGCACTAAATAAGGCCGAGACTCCACTACCCTAAAAACGGCGTAAAACCCCTCGCCGTAAAATATTTTACAACTGAGCAGGTCGTAAAACCAGCGTAAAAGCGAGTTGAGCAGTGTAAAAGCAGGTCGTAAAACCAGCTTTTACGCTGGTTTTACGACCTGCTCAGTTGTAAAATATCAGGGTCACGTGATTAAAAGCTTTTACGGCGAGGGGTTTTACGTCCATTTTTACGCTAGTGGAGTCTTGACCTTAGAATAGAGTTAGATAACTAACTCCTTCCAGGGAAAAATTTTTGAATTGAACTAATGTAACTTCCAGTTTGCATTAGACGTTCATATGTTTGTATAGAGTTAATTGGGGGCTTCCTATCCCTAAGCTTTGGATATATAATGTCAGCTTTCACTTATGCAACTCTGTTCTGAAGATTAAGGAAAGGCAAACAGACAGATGACAGTGGGAATTTATAGGTCTACAATTTTTTCAAATTGCAGCCCAATAATTACATAAAAGTCTCCAAAAGCTGGAACGTACACAAATTAAAACTAAACACCTAAATAGATAATTACTTAGAGTAATAGTAATATAATATTAGTATTAATAATAATAAACAAACAACCAGTTTAAAATGTGCCTCAAAATAAATTAAACTTGTTGCTTGTTTTAATAAAACGTAACAGACTAAAAATGTTTTGACTTTTTCGTCACGTCCAATCACCAGGAACAACTATCTTCTACTGAAGAGACGCCCTTTCTTTAGAGGCTATGCCTCTGCAAAAAAAATTCAAAACAGTCTAAAAGTTCACAGGTGACAAATCCCAGCACAATCAAAAATATAAAATTTTTTTTTTTTTTTTTTTTGTAAAATTTTGTAAAATTTTTTTTGTTGCTTGTTTAGTCAAACATTATGAAATGAGTTATTNTATCGTAGGCGCGATGCAAGTATAGATTAGGATGGTTCAAATTTTTACAAGACATTATTATTATTTATTGTGCAATTTTGCCGCCCCCACTACGGTACGCCACTGACCGGCACTTTTCGCACAAAAAATGTGGGTGTAGTTACCATACCTCGTTTACAATTCGCTATAATGTAATTGGAGTTCCGTAATACCACCTTCTCCTCTATCCATTTGCGCTCCGTTTTCAAACGGTAGCTTCGACGTCCGTCCCGCAGGATATTACCGGCACTTTAAACTTTAAGGGAAAATCTTATAAAATCGACGGCGTTTTCGCCAATTCTTAACGCTCGAATCCGCTCTCCGCGGGGCAATAACACTTAACGGCTTCTCTCAATTCCGATTTCCGAGTAATCGCCCGTTTTGGCGCGGGAAGAGACGAAAACTTACATCGGAAGGCAAAAGGAAAAGCAAAGCTTCGATCGCCATTCGTTTTTACTGCCGACGACATACGACAGCGGTTTTTAAACGCCGGAGGGCGAGCATTTCGCTAACGCCTGGGTAAGCCGAGACGACGTTAGATTAGGGAGAACGAAGATAGAGTTAATTTTTTCCCATCTAGGCTGGCCGACATCGGCGGCGCCAAACCCGATTTTTGGCCTAACGGATCGGTAACCTTACCCCTCTCCGTCGGCTCCTGGCAAACCGTAAATATCGGCAATTACCGACTGGCAGATATTTCGCGCGGTTAGGCTCCGTGACCATTGTACTGTACTTACTCGGTTAAAAGATCCCACTTTTCGGGCGTTCGTAGCTTCTGCCCAAAATGTTAACGTCCCGGCGTCCCAACGGTCGATACCCCGCGCGGACCGGATAAACTATACAATTTCTTTTATTCTCTCCCCCAAAAATTTCCGGGGTTTTCCACCGGAACGGTAGGCCCGCGGCTCCGGGTGGGCGGAAAGTTCCCGAAGGGAAGTACTCGGAGGATGGCCGCGTAACCCCGTTCGATTTTAAGCGGGTAAGGCAATTTCCCCGGGAAATGAAAAATATTTAGACCGACGATAAAATGACTTAAGTCGGCACCGGCCAAACCCACACCGAAAGACGTCGGGTAGAGGCGGCAGCCCACCGTCGCGGGGATCCGGCATCGAATCCGGATAAAAAAATTCCCGGAAATTTTACGGGGGGTCCAACCGGTCTCGTCCCTGGCCGGCTAAAAAGAGGCTTTCTTAGCACCCACGGGGCGGACGGAGTTAAAAAAAAATTTACCGAGCGCAACGCATTGGGACCGGTAAGGTCCGGACGGACGGAAGCCGGACCCACCGGTGACCGAGCGGTCTTCGTTCCCCGAACACTGGGAGTTCGATCGTGGGTTCGCGCCTGGCTGGCCACGTGAAGTTTTCCGGGTTTTCTCCACGTCCGTAACGCGTAAATAGGGACAGTTTCTCTTAAAGACCTCCCGGAAGGCATCTCCCTAGGCGGGTCGCCCGAGTGTCGCGTTGCCATAACTAAATAAACAAACAAACGGACGGAAGCCCAGTCGCGGTCTCCTTTAGCTACTTATTTTTATTTGGACGAAGAAAATACGTAGGAAATTTCTTTATTAACAGAGACGAGTCTCGGCCATTTTACCTTCCCCGGACCAAAATAACGATGGTTTACGGGGCCGGAGAGCCGGGACTAGAAAAAACCCCGTCTCCTCCCGGACGACTGTGGCTCTCGTTTCGAAGAACAGAAGGGAAGGGAAGCGTGGAAGGGAATTTGGTCGCCGGAGGCGGGTAGGTTAAAAGGGCGCCGAGTGGTCTTCCGGACGGCGAATTTGGTCCAGAATCCTCCGGGACAATTCTCGTATCCGCAGCTCTTCTTCTCCGCCGGTATTTTCCCAGACGCGGCGTAAGCTTCTTTCTCGCCACCTGGAAAACAAAGGCCTCCATTAAAGGCGACGGTTTTGGCTTCGACCCCGGAAAGAAAGAATATTCTTTACACGAGGTTAATTTAAAGGAAAGGAAATATTAAATAAAAAGTATTACCTCGAATCTCCGGCCACTTCCGCCGCGGCGGCCGTCAGGAAGTGGGAAATGGGGCTGCGGGGGCGCAGCCGGGCCGCTTCCTCCGCGTTTCTTCGGCAGACGGACTCGTAACGGTGCCGGCCGGGATCTTCCTGAAAATGCGCCATCGATAAGTAATGGCCGGCCGACCTTTTCCGTTTATTTTTATTTAATTAAAGACGACGTAAATATAATACATATTTGACAGAAAAAAGGAGGCAAAAGACTGTATAAACAAACTTAAAATACTCCGTAACGTGCAAATGATTATTACTTTTGTCAACACCCTGGTAGAACGTGGTTTAACCACGGTCGGCATCGATAACGATGGATCATTTAAAAGCAATTTCTTCTTTTAAAACGATTGGTTTTACAAAATACCTACTGTCGTACTGTCGAGCGTCAAGATTTTTGTTTAAACGGCAATAATAATAATAATGGTGTTTCTGTGGCAATGCATCCACAGACCACAAAGGCTGGAAACCATGCCAACGGATGAAATGGACAACAGAAATGAACGAGTTTATCATTCGTACTTACTACACCATCACAAGACTGGAAACAAACAAGACAGCATACAGACAACAACTACACCATAAATTCACACAACAATATCCTCGCCTCACTGTAACCGAACAAAGGGATGTCCATCAAAAAAAAACAGAGTGTAGAGTTGTAGTGTGATGATACGCGGTAAAAGGTTTATAGATACGAGTTGGATTATAGTAATACGGTGCAGATATCCCACCATTTTTTTCAAAAAAGAACAATTATACACAACAACCTTATCCCACAAACAACACTTGAACTTATCAAACAACAGGTTGCTGAGCAAATACATCAACAGACAGAAACATTTAACATTAATGAAGATCACGTAACCTGTCAGGATAATCCAGCAACAAGCACTGATTACAGCACACACGCAACAAGTACCACTAATGATACTGCAGACACTTTCTTATCCATCACTGATAACGTAGACATAGAATTAGTTAATATGCTCTCACTTATATTTCAGGAAACACTCATTAAATATACTGGTACAGATCCCACACAAAGACCACGAATACCAAAAATCAACACGTCAAAGGCAGTAGGAAAAACACTAGATTATGTAAACACTCACTTACTACCAAACTACATTCATTCAATTTCTACACTTACAGACATTCATACATTAGTTTATGCTGGGGCAGTCACAGTAGTGACAGACCATGGACTGAAAATACACTCACAGACAGACA